TTACTATGCATTTTTGGTGCACACTGACCAGACAATTGACTTTTGGCACACAGAGTCTCTTATTCTCTCAGCAGTTTCTCATGGCTTGCTGTGGCCGCTGTTCGTCTTGTGTTTCTCGTGTGTCAGTCCTCTTTAGTCCAGCACGCTACTGCATTAAAAAGGGAAGAGACTCATTGACAGTCATGATCAATCACCTCACCTGGCACTGCTCTAATCAGCTCTCTCCACACTCCACACTATTTCTCCTGCAGCCAGCTGCATGCCGACCATGCCCATCTCCACACACCTATTAGACAGATGTAGGAGTTAATACTTACACCAAGGTTTCCTACTGCACTGAAGCTTACTGAAGTTCTTCACTTGGAGGTTGCTTTGGATAAAAGCATCTCCCAAATGATCAAATGTAAATGAAATTGAACAGACCAGGAAGCTGATGACCTAATGACTTTTTGCATTTTCTCTCTTACAATTAAATGACACCATCTGAAGCCATTTTCTCACGGAAGTCTCGGACGATGTCTGAAGAACCAGGTTCAGACGTTGTCTGGAGTTTCCCTTTCACACATGCAACACACAACATGAGACTCTCCGTGTCGGATGCATTCTCTCCTTCATTAAATACTCTATTTGGTTTAAGCGAGGGGGTGGCACCCCTGTAGAGCATGCAGGAGGCAAAACATTATCAACACACCCACTCACTAAACCTACTCTATTCATACACTGGCACTGGCATTACACAGACTTTGTAGTAGGGAGCTGGCAGGTTAAAATCAGTCTGTCCGCTCCAACTGACTCAGGCATTTGCGTTCTCACATACAGCACCTCTGGATAATGTCAAGATAAGTTTAGAGCTGCAGTGCATGTGTGAATGCACAACAAGAATATCTTGAGAACCAGGTTGGTCTCTAGGGACTGGTGCTTTCCTGGTTCTATTCACATCTGAATTAAAGAACACAACGTGTTGCATGCAGTATTCTTATATCTTCCTGATCCAAGGTCCTAAACAGTGTTCCACAGGGAATCACTTTTGACTTTTTTTGAATCACTTTTGTTCTGTGTGTACCTGCTGTCCATGGGTCACATTTTCAAACAGCGCAATATAAATTGAGTCACATATCAAATATATTACAAGAACTGCTCTCCATATCCACCAAAACTCTCCCAAGAGTAACCGTGTGACTGGGCAACATAGACTGTAAATAAAGATGGACGTAGCCATAAAGATGATGTCACCCACAGGTTTCTGAAGAGTGGTTTTGAAGCTCAGTGTGAGCTGTAGTCGCCAACTTGGCAGTGTCTGACTCTGTCAAACTCCCAGCTAATCCAACATTGGGTAAAGAGGAGACCCACTTTGTGGCAAGGATATGCTCAACTAATTGTCACTCAAACAGGCCATGCCCTCAAACATGCAGAACTTTTCGACATCTTAACATGAAAGTCTATTTGTTTGAGAGTTGGGAGAAGGACAACCATCTCTGTAACTTTCCATCAATCAGGCCGTGATGGTAGAGCTGCTAGACAGAAGTAATTTTGACTAAAAGGCATTTGACAGCCTGCTTGGAGTTTGCCAAATGGCATTCAAAGAAGCATGAGGAAAAACATTGTCTGCTCTGATTAACCTCTAATTATCATGGTAACATGCTAACACACTAAACTGTGTTTTCATTTAGCTCAAAGCACCACTGTGAGGAAAGTGCAGTTTCACAGAGCAACAAAGTGGCAACACATTTTGTTTAGTCTTTTTTAATCAAGTATTGCACTATTTGCAATTACAATCACGTTAGGAAAATTACATTTTAACATTACCAAATTGTGTTTTTTCTATTATTCTTTTTGAATGACTGCTTTCACTCTCTATGTATAGCTAATATAACTCCCACTGGATTCATCCTTGTTACCAGCTGTGGCAGAGGAAAGTGGGTGCTGATTCTGTGTTGGGAGAGGAGTGCAGTAATTAGAGGCCTCTGTTTCATAAGCCATTTGAATGGAGCTCTCAGCAGCTCTGGTGCCCCCACCTCAACCATTTTTTACATCCACCATCTGTGACAACCGCTAAAAGCACCTGACATTTCCCTTGCTGGCAATTAATGCCTAAGCCAGTGAACTTCCTACGATTGTGAGGAAGTTAAGCTCCCCCTGTCCATCTAATACACAGACCTGAGCAGCTATGGATTTGATTTAAATCCATGTCTCAATTCACAAGGGCACGCACACACACCCAGTGCACACCAAATGAATTTCCTTTTCCTGCTCTCATCCCTCACCACATGTCAATCATCTTGATGTGTCAGCATGAAACCATGTCAAAACTGGAGACATGGAATCAGACCAGCTGCAACGCCCGTCAACATGTTGATGTTCCCACCCATGACCACAACCATCTTCAAACTCACCCTTCAGTTTGATATCAACCACACACCTGTAAAGTTTCCTGCCTATGGTTGTTATCGCAATGACAGGAATCTATCTGCAGACAGACATATAAACACCTGCCAAAGTCCTAAAACCACCTCTGTGGTAGCTCCTGCTCCAGGAACACATGTTGCCATGATGACATACACAGAGACAGAATCTTGGGAAAACTAAAATTCTTGCCTCTTTGTTGTAAGCCTCTGCCAACCAGACAAGTTACAGGAAATATGGTCACAGTCTTTCCTTCCTCAGTTACAGTATTGAATAATGACCAGAAGTGTCTTTGCAGAACATTATGATGTCACCGTGAAGTTGACCTTTGATCATTTGGATATAAACGAAGTAATGAAATCCCCTCAGGGCGTTCCTGATATATTGCATTCACAAGAACATGAGATCACCGTGACCTTGACCTTTGACCACCACAATCCAATCAGTTTATCCTTGTGTCCTAGTGGAGTTTAGAAGTTGCGGCAAGAACTCTGCAACAAACGAGCATCGAGCGTCTCGATTGACTTTCATGGTCAGTTAGCTTAGCTTGTGGTGCTGTTGGCTTCCATCAGCTCCTTACGACGTTTCTCAAGGTCGGAAATACAGGTGTCGTGGTCAGTGGGACATCCTTCTAGGTTTGTAATGCCTGTTGCATGGTCGGTCAGGGACCTTTGGACAAGTTGTAGTTTTTGAGTTCAAAGTGTTGAATCTAGTCGTCATGTCCTTCTTCAATTTCACGATAGCTGCTAGGATGTTAACTAATGTGGGCTGTGGGCTTGGTCCCTCATTGGTGTAAGCGCATTTCCCTCCTCCCCGTGGTGGCCACAGTCAACGAAGAAACGAATGACTCAGCTCGTGCTACTGACACAGTACCTGGGCAGAACACAGCCGATTCTGATTGGCTGATTAGACTCATTAACTTTTAGCCTTTTTACTCTTAGCTGTAACAGCATTTATAAGGCAAATCAACACTGCATATATGTTTGTGTGGTTGTATGTGTGTGTGTGTGTAGATGTCTTTCTATGATTGTGAGGACAATTTTTGTTAGAAACCATTATTCTGAGGTCATTTTGGCCGGTCCTGAACACCATCTCCACAATGTGGATTCACCCTCAAAATTCAACCAGGTACGAGGAGCTTACTGGAGGCTCTGTTTTACAAAAGCTCAACAATTTATACTGCCACACACAGAAGCACGACAGACACACACCACCTCCACCACATGGATTCACTTTGAAAATAATTAAGTCTCAAACAACTAAGAAGAGCTTCCTGGAGGCTCTGTGGTAGAAAGATGAACTAGTTCCTACCTACACACACACAACATACAATAGTATCACCAAACAATACTTCATATAATAGATGAATGCCATTGTCACATCTGATTACTGACTACAAAGCAGTGCTCCCTTATATCCATTTGCACAAATACCCAGCAGCATCTGATAGCTATTTCATATGCACCAAGCAGCTTGTGCACCAGCAGCAGGAACATTCACAATTTCTCCATGAATTTTCTAGTTATCAGTGTAATTGTTTCATCACAACTCTTTAGCATTATGTTTCCAATTCAAAAAGTTTATCAACTGAATTTGACATTTTATCCCACAGCAGTGCATTTTGGTAAGTAATGGTTCTAGGTCCCCTGACTGACTTTTTAGATTGTTGAAGATGACCTAGCCTGCAATTAATGTATCTTTACTTTTGCCTTTCTCACCCATTTTTGATTATAAGCAGGTGTAACCTATATAACCTGCCGAATAAGGGTTGTCTTGTTGCTGGAGTGGGTGTTGATGAGGGACCCAAATTTGGAAATGGCCTGTAAAGGGTTAACATACTTTTTCTGGCCATTGTATAGGAATTCATAACATACTACCTGCACCAGTCTACCATTCACATGACCACAACCCTGAGGGATGCCTCAGTGCCCCCCAGAATGTCCAACAAGCTCAGATTTAGTGTCATGGGAACTTGAAGTTCCTCCACTCATATATTTTAGAGTCATCACTTGTGGCAAAGACATGGGTGTGTTTCTTTGAATAACTGATAACTGCTCCCACTTATTAAGCTCTGCAGTAATGAAGTTCCTGGACACTGTTCAAGTGTACACAGTTTGTCCGTTTGTGACATATGACTGTAAATTCACAGCTGCTGTGGGTGTTTTACTGTCCTCTCACCAGGATACTTGGTTTTTGTAAATTTATTATTTGCACCTTAACTCTACACAACTAATAATTATTGATAAGGACACACTGAGATTGAATAAACACCTTCATTAAGAAAAAATATCAGAATACAATATCAACCTATATGGCAATGCAGAGCAACCGTAACACACTTTAAGGTGCCAGACCAGGATCATTATAACCCTATAGAACAAGCATTACAGGAACATAATGTTGATACCAAACTGGTCAAAAATATTTAATGCAGTATATCACAGGTATTTGAATATTTTTGGAATACATAGGAATATTATAATGATACTATAAGACATAAAATACAGGTAACCCACAGCAGATTTAATGTAAACATACAGTTCAGTACCATGGACATACTCCGAGCCACTACAGCAAGTGATACCATGTGGCACAGAAACATTTTTAAGGTTTATTGGAGATGACTGCACAGTAACTTGTCAGCTTTTATAACTCAGAGCTCTGGGTAATGTTGGCGTTCTCCCTGTAGGCAAAGCAGCTGGGGAAGATGCCGATGTTTCCTGCACAGTGCCCCTCCAGCCATTCCTCATTAACTAGAAGAGAGTGTAAAAGAGAAACAAAAAAAGAGGACAAAACCGTGTGAGAACATTTCAGATCAAAATGCACTTGAGCAAGCAGTTCAGTGTGAGGTTGACCTGCCGGGTCTCACCTTGACCCAGGATGTCAATGGTGTCTCCTTCACTGAACTCCAAGTCCTCTGGGCCCTGTGCAGTGTAGTCATAGAGCGCCACCATTTGGTAGAGGATGTTACGGTTGGCCAAGGGGTCTTCTATCTGAAGTACAATACAGGGGAGTGAGGGTCAATTTTCATTAGCCTAGCAGCAAAGTAGATAATTACCTGGACAAATCATCAGTTAAATCTATGTAACTTCAGGTATGAGGAAGCAACGTGATGCACTCCTATTAGGTTAGACTAGGTTGGAGTTTCCCAGTCATCAAATTAAGTGCTACAGTGGAACAGTTTCTGTCTAATATCTGTAAACAGCCTGCAGTAGTGCCAACTTGATGTCCCTCTCTGATGAAAATCCAGTTTAACCATGTTAACATCCATATGATGTTTTTATAAAATAAAGATATATGATGAGTGAAATAATCATCAACACCATCACTGAGTGTTTCCACCTTGAACTGCAGTGAACCAATGACAGTCTCATAAAAGCAGATTCAGACAGCCAGGGTTTCATACATCACAAACCTTAGGAACCAATCCTGTCAACTTGTGGGGACAGGGGGCGGGGCTAAATAAACCTGAAACCTTGTCAGTACAGAGAGAGAGCTAGCATTAGCAAAACCACTAACCCTGTGTCAGCCACTGACAGTTACAAGCTAACAAACAACATAAACAAATAAAAGATGCTAACTATGCTAACCGTTCTGATCCGTCTGCTAGTCTCTGGTTCTGATCTCAACAGACCCCTCATCTGAGTCTGGGTCTGACTGAGGCTCACACATGTGGCTGAGTCTCTCTGATGTTTCCTCCTCTAACCATCTTCATACTCTCTGCTCTTTCACCTGTCCACCTGGAGCCAGCAGGTGGTGGGCGGGGCTCAAGGCCTGATCCAGATGTCTCAGTCAGGAAGTAAGAGTAGATGAGCTTCTTTTTTTTTTTTTACCTTTTATGCGTGAAAACCATGTTCAGCAAAATATTCATCATAGCAGAGGATTTCTGCAGAGTTTTGAACATGTCTGGTTTCCCAGCTGCTTGGGAGCTGCAGGGAAACAGAGTATCGCTTCCAATTCACTGAGCATCACGGCAAATAAACTCCTTTAATTGCATCTAAAGGAGGCAGAGGAATAACTAAACATAAGACAAACTGAGTATCAGAGAAGGAAACATATTCATCTGGTTACAGTGTTTCCCCTGGAATTATTTTCAGCAGCAGTGCTGTTATGCCAGTGTCCATCAGGATGCAACGAGTCAGAACAGTTTCAAATGAAATGACCTTAGAATCATGGGATGAATGAAACTTTATTATTCATGTTTGTCTTTTGTGTCTTAATTTACAGCGTTTGACATTTATGTGTAGAAATGAATATCGAAACGGTCTGGTGTCTGTGTCTGCGGCTGAGAGAAGCTCTGTGTGCTGTTTACTGTCATCCCGCCTCTCACCTTGTTCACTGTGCCGACACACGACAGGCCGCCAAAACAAAACATGTGGAACTTTTACAAAGTGTGTGAGACTGATAAAACATAAGCCATCTGCAATGCATGTCAAAAATGGTTGGTATCAGCTGTGGATCTACCAATCTCACTCATAGATGATCAGTATCAACAGCAAAAAAAAGCCTAATCAGAGTATCCCTAAAAATAACATATTGGCCCACATATCGGTAAATCAGCGCATTTTTCAACTCTATGTCACTCTGGTCTTAAAACGTAGCGACATAGATTACATCCTGCCTGTGAGCAATTTATTTTTCTGGGCTTTTGGTACAAGAGCTTGAGGGCTCTTCTATAGTGGAATTCGGTGGTGATGGGGCCATTGCTAGAGATATCCCCCTTCACTTTTCCAACAGTTGGGGAAACAACATATGACTTTTCTTGGTCTTCAGAAGCTGTAGCATTTATTAACCGACACACTGCAGCCCATACTGTACATTTACTGCTAACCTTTTTCCCTGCCCCCCCTCGCATTCATTCGCTTCACCATCACTTTTCTGCCGCTCACTTGTTACACACTGCCCTGGTCCCTAAAGGAGCTAAGCTACACTAACGTTACCTTTTATGTAGATGTCCTGTGAAAAATGAGGACAGGGTCTGGGAGGAGTTGATGCTTGAGTTAATGACTCGAAACAATTCTGGGGTAACGTTGGGTGTTGTGCTCACACAGTGTGCAAGTGAAAATCATTAGTAGTCCGTTGATATTAATGATCATGTGAAATTTTAGCAGCAGCACTTATAATCTAGCAGCAGAGTGAATATATGGGAAACACTGGGTTCTTTAGCTGCTAAATGCTCCTCTGTCCTCAGCAGCTCGTCGGTGCTGGGTTCATCAGAGCAGACAACAGACAACAGGGTTTGATCCACTGTTACATTTGAATCGGTGCTGCTTTAACAATGGCAGGGGGAAATCTGTCTGGGGGGGCAACTGCAAACCTTCTGACACACCTCTGCACCTCGCACTTGATGCCAATTTCATGTTCTGATGTGCGTGCTGTTGTGAGTTTAAATGCTCACCTGGCACCATAGGGTGGCTCTGCCGGCCTCAGCCACTTCTTGCATGGTGCAGCCTGGCTCCACCTCCCCACCCAGTGGAATCAGCACCCGGGAGCCATGCTGCTTATGTCTGATGAGAGAGCAGGAAGAGTGAGGGGGAATGGGCATCATGGAGGCAAATGTGGGTTGGCAGAAGATCAAAAATAAATGAAAGTGACTTTATGGCAAAATGACACAGATCAATACAAAGCAAGGCTGTGATGAGTGTTATTTGTCATCAGATCCTGGTTTTATTCTGACTGCTATATAAATGAACTGGTCCCATCATAATGTTTTTGTGTCTTTATGTGTTATTGCTGCTCCTCTCGTGTGTGTGGAGCTGCAGCCTCAGTGTCCTATATCTCATGTTAGGTTTTCTTTGCCAGAGCAGATTTTGGACCCACAGGGTGGAGCGGACAAAGAAAGCATATTTTTAGAAATGAAGTATCACTTGTTGAAATTCGTGTAGACAGAAGTGGGTTGGCGTGACTGCAGTTACCTGAGGCGCAGCTGAGATGCAGGCTGGCCCAATTTCTGTGCGATTTGTTCCTTCACTTCATGGTACGGAGTGTCCAGAGGGACAGACAGAGCCACAGTGTACGTGTAGTGGACCTTCACCACCACAGAGCCCACGTCTCCTGCCTGAGCTGAGCTGGTGCGCTGGGAGCAAAGAGCAGAAACACATTAAAACATCATGTGACTGCTGCTACACGATTATATTAAAATCTGGATCTGTTCAAGTCAGTATATTTTTACATGGTTATTATGTTGTAATAATAGTACTAGTATTGGTATTGATAGTGCTACTATAATACTGCTGTCCCTACAAATCTGATTAGTACTTGTAATACTAGTACGAATAGAACTTGTAGTGGCAGTAAAAGTAGTTGTTTGAAGTTACTTCTGATATTTTACAGAGACAGGGTCGGCCCAAATGTTTTAGGGGCTCCAAACAGGACTCCCCATCACCATCCACCCCCAATATAAACCAGCATATTGTAAAGGGAAATTAAGCCAGGTGACCACACACAGGCTACGAGTTTTAGAATTTCACAAATTTCCAATTTTAACTAGAAATAGAATTATTTAAGAAGGAAATTCAAGATTACCACAGTTTCCCAATCGTGTAAATGTAAAAGATTAAAAGAGTGCAAAATGGGTGGCCAAAGGTCCAAACAAGTCACTTTATTTGCTTGTGTTTGGGGTGTTTGTGGGTTATAATGAAAGACCTTCTGGAGGACAACTAACACCTGTCTCTTTTGCATGAAAATGCAAATTAAAATCATATCAAACATTGAGTAAATATAGTGTTGAGTCTTGTGTTGATATTTCAAGTGTAATACTGACTGCATTTGATAATGTGCGTAGTGTGTGTATGTGGAAGCAGCTGAAGTTTCAGTACCATGAAACTTCATCAAGCCTCTGCAACATACCAACTTTCTGTAATGGCTGTGTTAGTTAAGACAACGTGCCCTATAGAGCTTCAGTATGTGACAGTTTGGAGTGAGGTGCCATCATGGGTGTCCTCTCAGTAGAAGAAGATGTGATGTCCTATAAAGTGCACTTTAAATGTAATAGAGAGTCCTGTTAGATGTTATTGCAGTGGGTTGTGATGGAGGTTCTGTATGGGAAACGTGATCACTAAAAAATAGTAAAAATTAAAAGAGAAATAAAAGGAAAAGTATGACGGTGAAAGCAGCTGAGACAAAAGCTTGTTAGTGTTTTAGAATGATTTAAGATTTGTATGTCATGTAGCTCGTTAGTTTATAGTGGTAGAGCTGTCCTGCTGATAAATGAAGGAGCTTCGTGCTCAGTTTGAAAAACAGCTGGACAGTGAATAAGCTGCAGTCACATTATCACCATCTTCTCCTTAATGGGGACGTCAGACTGAAGGTTCCTTCATTATAGCTTATACTATCATTTAAATTAATAGAATTTTAAGAAGCTTGTGAAACACAGTGTTTCTGAAGAACTCATTTGTGATTGATGATTAGTTACTACAGAGCTTTGATGAGTTTTACTGATGGAAATAAACCACCAGGAGCATCAGAACAGTTGAATAACTTAGACTGAGTTGTTATTTAACATGACGCCTGTATGAAGACCAGTCAGTGTGACACACATACGCAAACTTAATATCCTGTATGTACATATATTACATTTCCATATATGACATTTAAGTAAGTATAAGCCTTCATAAAAAATGAAATATTTATAAAGATTAGATATAAAGCCTATTAGAAATTGGAACAATTTCATATACTGGAATATATGTATATCCCATACAAATATGTTTGTTTATGTAAGTATGTTTATATTGTTGACATATGTTACATATATCCATCCCAAAGCCTGTCAGTATGTGTTGATATTATATACAGTAGGGTCCAAAATCTGAGACACTTTCCCAGAATGGAAAGAGACACGTTTTAAATTAATAAGAAATTTATAAGAAAAACTATAAAGCATATAAATTATATATGTATGTTGTTTTAATAAACTTAAGCATATGTTTTTACTATGGGCATTTCATATATGTTAAAAACTTATACGTTTATATATCCAGAGGACGTATATATGTGATAATAATATAAGTGACATATTTGGCAACATCACTCTTGATATAGGGACATATACTGTAGGCAGTGACAGCAAGTCTCCTCCTGTGCTTTCTGTTTGAATACTCAGCCAGCTGTTGTGTATATGTGTGCCTTTAGGTTTAGTTTTATTGTGCTGTTTCAGGGCTGGACATGATTCCATTGAAGTTCCAAAGTAAGATGGTTTTCCACCTTAATCTTCTAAAACCTCAAAGTAAAGCTTCATGCAGTAATTACAGTGTATTGAAAAGAAGCTGACATAGATAGGGACTTTAGATTGTTCAGATAGTATTACAATATGCCTGAATACTGTGTAAACCACTACAGGTGGATCTATTAACACTTGTTGATGTTGTTATTCATGCAGGCGTGCCAGTACAGAGTGAGGGCACCCACTGAGACTGTGTACAGGGCCCAGATGCTTGATCCACCCAAAACCACATGAATTTTTCCCATGTCTTCCACATGTGTTTCCTACATTTGATCACATGTGCTCTACATGGTACCACATGCTGCAACGCGTGGTACCATGTAGAGCACACAAACTGTCACTGAACATGTCACAAATACTGCAGATTTTCAAAACCATTGCAGTTGATTGAAAATGGTGCATCTTTAAACATGAGTCATTCACTCATGGAGCACTCCATACTTGTATAAATAAATGATAGACATTTCTATGTTTAATAGATAAATATACACAATTCTCAAAAGTGAATCTTGAAAACAGAATTTGACATTGGTTTGTAATCTGCCTTTGGATGGATGGGCAGATCATATCATGCACTCATATCAGGCTGCCTCAGTCACAGAATGGCGCCTCCTCTGTTCATACCACTGACAGATAACTCAATAAGTTGATGTCTCTCCTTGGTGTCAAAGGATGTGAGTTTGAATCCTGGGTGAAGCTGAGTAAATGTGCTTTATTTATTTAAGTCTCTTTTTCCACGACATCTGCTGGCCCCATCCATGACTGCTTACAGTCCTACTTTAGATTTGTGTTTTATTTTTTGTTCTACACACAGGTGCAAATATATATTTCTTTTTTTAAAGAATTCTTTGGGCTTTTTGTGCCTTTAATGGACAGGACAGTAGAGAGACAGGAAATGGGGAATGACACGCAGGAAAGGGACGTCCAATGCAGGAGTTGAACCGGGGGCCAGCTGCAGCGAGGACTGTAGCCTCTATGTATGGGGCGCCTGCGTAACCCACTGCGCTTCTCGACGCCCCAAAATATATATTTCTGTATGCAAGATTTTACATGAGTTCTACAGGAAGTTACATCTTTACATGGGGTGCACATTGGTGACCAAGAAAATGTTCAAAAACCACGTTTCCCATGTGCCACCACATGTGTTTCACACATTTCACATGTGATTTTAACATGTTTTCAAATGTTGAATTTCACATGTGCAGAAATCACATGATTTTGTTCATTTTTTGTTCAGTTTTTGAAATTCATGTGTTTTTTCTGTAACCGACTCCACTGTTTTTAATAAAGTTTCATTCATTCATTCAAAAAAGTTGCCTCTGAAATAATCCAGCTAGCAATGACGTTTCCTACAAAACATATTTGGTGTTGCAGTTAAGCTTTGTATGGACATGATTTCTAAGAAATGAGGTTGAGGAGGAGACAGCTGAGTTGCATAAGCTGGAAGTGAGAGGAAGAGAACTACCATGTGATTCCACCTTTCAGCTTGCACAAATGAATCTGGCTTTTCAGAGGGGAACACTACCTGGTTGCTGGCTGCGTTGGCTGTGTACTTGGGAGGCTCTGAGGCTGGCAGCGGTGCGTGGGTGGCAGTGGTGTAGGATGGAGGTGGAGTGTCTGAGGTACGGGCTGCAGGGAAAACAGCACAGGTACAGCCTGAGCACACACAATACCAGTCTAATGGAAGGTTAGGCAGGTACATTTTGTATATCGGAGTGTGTTATTACATGTACTCTCATAAGAATTATCAATAAAAACAATTCCATGTGTGTATGTACAACAATTCTTCATAATTTTCCCTCAAAATCAGCCACAGTACAACCTTTGAATGAAGTGGTTTTAATCATCTGGATAATCTGTCAGACTTATTTTTAGTGATGCTATTGTCTTTCCAGATCTCAGCATTTAACTCTGTGAGTACAGTTACAGTTCTACAACAATGAAACCCAGGATGTGATCAACATGAATTCTCTTTTAAATTGATGTCCCTCACTTGTAAATCGACTTGGATAAAAGCATGTGCCAAATGAGTAAATATAGGGGGGCCTTGGTGGCTCACCTGGTGGAGCACGTACCATAAAGGCTTAATCCTAACTGTAGGGGCCTGGGTTTGAGTCCAACCTCTGGCCCTTTGCTGCATGTCAGCTGATCATGTCAAAAGGTCTGTTTGTCAACAGATGAGCAAACGATTCAACATGAACTCAGAATAGTTCAATCGATTAGAATGGAAAAAGGAAAGACATTTTTTTTCAGGAAACTTCCACCATAGAATAAAGCCTTACCAAATGTAATGAGGATCTATGCTGGGGTGTCTGCTGGCTGAATGGATATGTAAGATCACATCAATGTACACAGTTCAATTTCCAATGGGGGTCAGATCATAACACTCTCTCTCTCTAGACTGCAAATTATCAGATAAAGGCAAAATGCCAAAAAATGATCTTAAAAAAAACACACTTACACACTTAGTTACTCTCTGTCTTTGGAAAAAATATTGGTAATAAGCAAATAGCAAAAGTATCGTCTGCTGTAGATCAGATTAGGAGAGAAGGTGGAGAGGCCTTCCTCTCCTGAGGCAAGAGGATTTTAGAGTAAGAGTAGAGTAAGGATTGATTTTTACCCCCAGGTGGAGCTGCAGGGCTGGGCCCGGCCTGAGGACGGGTGGGTGGCTTGAGTCCTGGTGGGAGGGGAATACCACTGGGATATCTCTGTGGGAGAAAACAAGACAGGAAGGTCAGTGAAAGAGCAATTAATGTTTTTTTCCAACAGTGAAAAAAAGAATGAGTTGTTCTCCCAGCAGGAAGCTTGTATCTTTTGTTGACAGGTGTAGAGTAATGTTGGGCTGAGGGGCTTTAACATTTATTTAGAACATTTTCATGTATTTCCTCTGTTTTGTCTTCTTCCTGGTCACATGAGCGAAGCAGAGGTGAAGGGTCAACACTAAAGCACTATAATGAAGATCATTCTGTGTTTCCTCTCAACACAAGCCTGAAACATGTTGCTGAAGTGTCTCATCACATGGACCAATACATTACATTGTCCTTTTTGCCTTTGGACGTCTTCACATCTGCAGGATCAAGCAGGGACATTGGCAGAAGTCCTCTCTGAAAAATAAAGGACTGAAAATCAGACAGTGACATCTAAAATACATTGTTCTGAAAAACACATCTTTGTCAGCAGCCCCCAGGGGCGAAGTCATCATGTGTTTTAAAAACCTGAGATGGAATAAATTCAAACACATGCACATGGTGTTTTCAAAGATGAAATATTTGTACATGTGAAGCTAATAACTGTTTTTGTTTTGTTTTGTCTGTCTGTCTGTCTGTCTGTCTGTCTGTCTGTCTCTCTCTCTCTCTCTCTCTCTCTCTCTCTCTCTCTGTCTGTCTGTCTGGATCCGTGAATCATCCAATCATCTTCAGACTTGGCAGGTGTTGTGCTGAGGACCCACGGAAGTGCAGTGATGACTGTGAAGGTTTTTTTGGATGACATTGGCAGACAGAAATTCCTCCATTTTTATTATAACTGCACTTCCTGTTACCGTGGTAACCATGCTCAATTCATGCTCAATTAAAAGTCACGCTGCAGCTTGACGGACGCTGCACTAGTCACCTTGTAGTTTGGCTGTCAATGGCTTCTATTGACAAACTCACAAAACATCTGTTTGATGCTGAACTCAAAGCGTCTTTAGACTGGTAATTAAACACAGTGTGTAGAATCAGGACTCTCTCTATAATGGTGTAATATACTGTTCATCATAGTTCATCATCGTTTTAGCAGTTAGTTTACAAGAAAATATACAACAACGTGCTGAGGTGCTTTACCATTGAGTTTCCATCAACAGAGCACTCAAAAAAAAAGCACTCTGTCTGTTTAGACTAGACCTGCAGCATCAAACAGCAGACAGACAAAGTGATATACTAGCTGGTGAACATAGTGGAGCATGTAGTCTCCAAAGAGACACATATTTTTCTCATGAGTTGATGGAGAGAAAACCAGAGATAAAAGGAGACTACATACAAACATGTCTCCAAATCAGCGATAATGTTGCTCTGTATCTGCTGGATGTTCACTTTATAAAAGTCATAGTGTGTGTTTCAGTTTCTGCTGCCCCCTGCTGGCCAAAACATTAAGTGAATGCAGCTTTAAAATCTCTAGTCTTATGTCATTGTTTCTGAGGTGTTTTAAAGCTTGAGGTGAGAAACAAGAATGGAGTTGCCATCACCCCGACACAACACTGAAATGTCAGTCGATAAGATTTAAACATGGCTTCTCTCTCTCCTCACCTGCCCATCATATATGACAGCTGCCATCCCGTCCCTGTCCTCCTCACCGAATAAAAACACCATGGCCCCTCCCGGCACAGTCAGCTGTCCTGGGCTCCGAGCCATGTAAGGGACCCGCATGCGCATGTATCGAGAATCCCTGACAGGTAGTGAAAAGACAGAATCAGTCACACATCACAGCCATTCTTTAGTATAATGTGTGTGTGTGTGTGTGTGTGTGTGTGTGTGTGTGTGTGTGTGTGTGTGTGTGTGTGTGTGTGTATGTGTGTGTATGTGTGTGTGTGGTATAATGTTCAATAGTAGCATTACCCTGACACAGTAATGTCACCAGCTCAGGGTCATAATATTTCTGTGTGACTGGTGATAATACTCACTGAGCTCCATCCACCTTGGGCTCATAGAAACCAGGTTGCTGTGAAGAAGAGAGAAAGACACTCATCAGACAGTCAGCAAAGGGCGAGACCGACAACAACATCAGATCATCTCTCATCTTTATTACCTGCAGCCTCAGAGGTTCAAAGCCTCCAAAATCATCATTGGGAATCATGGAGGAAATCACCTGCAAGTAGAACATCATATGTTACTGAATTTGGCTGCCCAGTTTAAATGACCCAAGCATTGTGTTGGATGTAACCAAATGATTTGGGTGCAGTTTCTAAAAGAAAAAAGGATTTTCAGTCAGAAAGTTGGAAAGAAATTGTTTTCTTGGCTTTTCAAAAAATGCCTGAAGTTAGTCATTGGCACACGGTGAAATGTGCCAGAACTTGGGGGAGCAGTCTCATGAAGCCCAGTAAACAAGTTAAATGATGTTTGGCCCATCACTAGATCCTGCAGTGGGTACCAGGCTCTTATGTACGGTGGCCCTGAGAGCTCTTGTTCTTCAATGCTTCATGACTTTTGAAGTGCCCGTGGATATATTATAATGCAATTTTATTTTATTCTTTAAAATATATGTATATATACAATAAACAAAATAAATAAGGATTTAAAACTAAATTTTAGCAAGTGGAGCCTTTGGAAACAGCTTGCTACTGACCAAGCTTCTTCTACCACAACTTTCAAACCTGCTTCATACTGGGTATAAAGCACATAACAACAGAGAGGAAACTCTAATCTGAAGTCTGCTACTATTAGTTTTCTAAAGGTGACAAGAACAAGCTGAAATAAGTCAAGAATCTTACCATACACCCATGACACCACATTCATCATTTGGATACTCTACCTTTGCTTTGCCCAAGAAGTCTCTTTGCTGCAGCTGCTCCACATCCTGCCTCCTGGGACGAAACACCACACCCTCAGGCACCAGGAGAGGAGCCAGGACCTCCTTTCTCTGTTTTTACAATCAGGGTCAAATGTTTCTTTTAATTCAAATGACAGTGATTGTATGTGCATGTACTGACTTTCAGAAGGGGATTTTGGAGAATTATAAAAAATCACTCCCCTCTGATCATTTGGAATCAGCTCAGACATGAGCAGTCTGTATTTGTTTTATGAAGCAGTTGTTCAACAGTTTTATTAGTAGAACCATAGCCACACCTTTTGTGAGGAACCATCAAACACACCTGAAATTAGCAAACATATCACTTAAAGTCACGATGAAAGGGCTTCTTTAATTCCTGCGATGTTATCCATGTTGAAACAGGTTAGTGGGTGGGGTCTAGTACAGTGAGATATCACTCTAAAGTGGGCAGGGGCTGCAGTGACTGGCGGGAGCAAAGCAAAGCAATGCCCCAACCTCATTTCCTCCAACCCCCAGCTGCCGAGACTGTGCTTGTACTGGGCAGCTTCCAGATGTGAAAGTGTGTAAAGGTGTGAGTACGGTCAAGGTGTTCCTGCCCAGGTGAGCTGGGCTATCAGTCAAACTGACACTGTGACACGGGGGGGGGCAGGAGGTGGGATTTATGAAAAATGTGTAAAAGCTTTTTTGGCTGGATTTTGATGTTCTTGTGCAGGATGCGGTCACCCTGAAAGGGCTGTACTACAAAACAGGGTCAGTACCGTTATGTAGTGGATGGACATGTTTTCCACTCTAGTACATGTCACTTTGCAAGCACTGCTTATACACCGCTCACAAACAGTGCTGTGACGTTCACGTGCTACTTTGCCCCAGTATTTCTGGGTCTGGACCTCTAAATGTATGATTCCTTAAATGTTTTTATTATATGTTAAAATGAGCAAATGTTGTTACATTTATTATGTTATGGGTCAAAACTGACCACATAGTCAGTTTCCAAAACAGACAACCACACAGCAAGACTTATCAACAACTGTCTCCAGCAAGGTGTGTGTGTGTGTGTGAGTGAGTGAAAGAAAGGGAGTGTGTGGGATCATATTTTCTGCATGTCACTCTACAATTGAATTCAAGTCAATACACTTTCTTGACATGAGACATAAGCACAGAGGGCCTATATTGAAACCTGTCATTCTTTTTATTTTTCTAATTAGCATTATTATGTGCCTGCTGTGCTCAGTCGAGAGGTCAGACACCAGAGATTCTGTAGTCGGCACCGACACCATTGAATGTCCATGATTCTCAATAACAAATTCTAGGTAGTCATCAACTGTCCTAATTGTACAACTCCTCCTCAACAGGAGCTGCTACCACCACATCTACTCTACCTGCTGTTTGATTATCAGCTGATTGCATCATACCAACCTGCTGCTGTACTCAGCTGAAATGTGATTTCCTGCTGTTGCCCTGACGTCATAAGCTGCACAAAGCATCACCAAATTGAGCACAGGCAACGATTAACTGTTTTCCAGGAAGCTAAAGTTTCCATTTGATAGTTCATCTTTAAAGAGGTGAGGACAGAGCAAACCTTTTTTCATCAAGTATGGCAACATATATAACAAAAGCAGTGCAAGTCTCAATGCAGTCTGTTGCGAAAGTTGTGACACTCACCACGACACTGTCCAGAGCCGCCTCTATGTTTCCCCCTCGACCTCCTCCTCTCTCCTGAGACGCTGACATCAGGACCTCCCTGGCCCGCTCCCACTCGCCCATCCGACAGTACACAGCTGCTGCGTTATACAAAGCCTGGGGGACACATCACAATTGTACCATGCCATTAAAAGGGGGACCAAGCAGCAAAGGTGCGTAGGCCCCATTGTGTTTCTATCTTTTCTTCTTCATCATCTTCCTCTTCTTCTTCTGCCATGGGAGTCTATGGCGGCCCCTAGAACCGTATGGTAAAAAGTTTTGAAATTTGCCACACTGGTTGAGGACACTCCTGTGATGTTGTTCACCACGCTTATTGTCTTTAGCGCCACCAACAGGTCAAATTTGGAGGTGCGATCACGCATGTAACTTTTGAATCGTGTATCGTCTGATTTTTTAAAATCAGCCAATCATATGTTGCAGCAAAGCCACCAAACAGGAAGTGAGGTCATATCTCAGCAATGCATTTATAGATAGATAGATAGATAGATAGATAGATAGATAGATAGATAGATAGATAGATAGATAGATAGATAGTAGTCCCACACTGGGGAAATTTTCATGGTGCATGAACATGAACAAACATGGTACCTCCTCTAAGCCACAGACTGTTACTGACCAGGTGCAAGCACAGGTGCATTGTCTGTGGGAAGCTCCAGCAAGTCTTATCTGTACTGTGAGAAATATGTGATGCTATGTAACTTCTTCCTCAGCGTCCATCACTGAAGCTTTGTTAGCTCCAGGAGTGTGTGGCATTTGAACAAACCATGGAGGTGATGACACAGCACAGTTCTCTCTGCTTTCACTCCTCACTACTGACAGAGGAAGAATGGCGCAGACTGGCGTTTCCATGTGTGAATACAAGTATGTGGTGCTGTGTGTGTGTGTGTGTGTGTGGTGCTGTGTGTGTGTGTGTGTGTGTGTGTGTGTGTGTGTCGTGTGTGTGTGTGTGTGTGTGTCGTGTGTGTGTGTCGTGTGTGTGTCTGACCTGCCAGCTGTAGAGCTTGAATCGCAGGCCCAGCTGTTTGTAGTCAATGACCATGTTTCCTCTTAAATACTTCTGTGCCCAGATACAGTCGGACAGAGCCTCCTCCAACCTGGACAAACAGCGGTGGATGACAAACAGCTCCTTCTGTAAAAGCTTTATACAAAAACCCACACATTGTGGTTTTAAAGGTTTTATGGGTCAGAATATTTCTTCATTGGGCCCAGTACCTTTGTGGAGTCTCTGCAGGTTGCCTGGCAACCTCACAGTGATAAAAAGTCACAGGAAAGTGCCTGTGCCTGGCCAAAAAAAATAGTCCAGCACGTAACCTCCCATAAAACCACATTGTATGAATTACACAAACAAGATCTCACCGCTTTAGAAGTGCTGGTAGGACAGAGCCAGGTTAGCTGTTTCCCCCTGTTTCCAGTCTTTATGCTCAGCTAAGATAACATTTATACATAGACGCCGCATTGACTGCCCTGTAACCAAATTGGAATAAACGTAGGAGCTGCATTTTTTATGGATAAAAAGTCCGACATTTATATTTCTCAACTGATTTCAATGAGTTGTTTTTTTGTATCTGAGGGTTCATGATTATTTGGAGTAAAAATAAAAGTTTTGTCTCCAGTTATTTTATCAGTGAAAGAATGAGATACAACTTTATGATCCCAGAGGGAACTCAGGTGTTAAAGCAGGATAACATATTTACGTGATAGGTTATGGTAGAAATACAGTTCACATATAGTACAGTATAATATGGAATATAAGTGTAATGTATAGTATAGGGTAAGATGTAAGTAAGATGTAGTGGTAGTAAAACAATATGTAACATTATAATACAGCAGTATATCATATTATCATTGTTAATAGCCTAAATATAATGAGGTGTAACATGAATATATTATGTTATAGTAGCAGCACAATATTAGATTAGTAATAGAAAATAGTAAATGTAGTATAAATAGTACTTTAGTACATACAATAATGTGAGTTTTAAGTATTCCTTATGACAATGAATTCTTTTCCACCACATAAGTATTAAGTTAATGTAAACCTAATGTTGATACACACTCCTCCTTATAGAAAACAGTGATTACAGCCTAAACTATCACGATTCTAAGTAACTGGAAAGAAAACTTTTATTTTCACAACACATAGATCATAAACCTTTGAATGTAAAAACAACTCATTGAGATCAGTTGAGAGATATAAACATTGTAAAACTTTTCATCCAGAAAAACGGCAGCTCCTCCGTTTATTCCTGTTTGTTCACACAGCAGTCTCCACCGGTTCAATATGGCGGCAATGTTGATATATCGCAGTGACGGGCTGAAGCGACCAATGCAGCATCTATGTGTATGGTATACCCTATTCACAGTTACTACTTCTTCACCCTCTCATGTTTCACAGAGGGCAGACTGGACGCTACGGTGACTCACTATCAACTCTCGAGGTACAAAGTGGTACGACACAGGGACAGGCCAGGGCCACCTGGTTAGCATGTTAAGTAGATATATCTGCAACACAGTACATGGACATTTTTGACATAACTTGAAAACTTTAATTTCTCCACATTCTGTTGATAATCGCAGATGATTTTTGAATGTTTGAAACTAAAATATTTACATATTGCCCCTTTAAGTCATCCAAATTTTTTCAGTAATCCCTCTTCTCTGCCATCCTGTCAATCAAACCAAATAGGTTTAAATATAAGACTGACCCATCACTTGCTACTTTCAAGAGGAATTACATTAAGGGAGCAAACACTGCCTTTTACATGACCTGTAGAGCAAAACTCTGCACAGCAACAGCAGCCATCGTGGCAGTTACAGGATGACAGCACACTAAGCCTGTTGTTTTAAAGTGACTCTAAAACAAAGTGTCCCAGTACTTCCAAATGTTACATTGTCTGTCCCATAGTATCTGTGCATTGTGGTGTAAACTTTAAGTCAGTATTTATATATGTCTTCCTTTAAACTTGAAAATCATTGAGGGTAAAGCCCTCACAATCACAGAAGTTAAAAGGTCAGAGATTAAGAATGTGAAATGACCAACGACTTCATTTTTAAAGTGCTTTGTAGTGAGTTCAGGTGGGTGTTGGAAAGAAGCCAAAAGTGTGAACCCGAGGGACATGGAGTGTGAGCCAGTCATTAGTCCTGGTCTAATGTAGTCCAGTGGACCGGACTAACATGGAAGTGATGTATGACGGCAGTTTTTCAATAAGAGCTTTGTAAATAAACAAATACACAGGCAAACCACGCCTTTCTGAGAGAGAGGACCATCCCTTTTATACAGGATGCAGTGATGAGTGTTATAAGCATCAGCAGTAATAAAGCTAAAGGTAGAGTGGTCGACAGCATCAAGGGGTTTTAGAATTGCAGCTGAAGCGTGTCTGTACAAGATGTCAGCATACTCTAAAACTGATAAAACATTTGGGACAGGGTGATGGCTCCTACCTGTCAATCTGCATCATCACTGCTGCTCTCTGGAAGAAGCCAACAGCAAGACGTTCATCCCTGGCGATGGTGAGGTCTAAAGCCTGAGGAAAAAGACAAGACATCACATGTTCCAACATCACATGGAAACAAACGACTGACTATAACTGAAGGGAGAAAACTTTTTAATTAAAATCCAGTGTCGATTTATTTGGGATCCAGTATCAACCCATGGTAACCAGTAATGGTGCTGATGCCCATTGTGTGTGTGTGTGTGTGTGTGTGTGTGTGTGTGTGTGTGTGTGTGTGTGTGTGTGTGTGTGTGTGTGTGTGTGTGTGTGTGTGTTTGTAAGCCATTAATAAGAACAACTCCCTTCAGGGTTGACAGCTTAGTGTTCTATCTCTTTGTCTTTTTAGCTTTTTCATTCATCAGCTTTTTCTGTCACTCACTGTTTCACCACAGCTCCTCTTATAATAATCAGTGAAGTGTGCAGATGTAAATCCTTGTAAGAGAAATTTTATAAAGTTCAATTTTAGTGCAGATGCTCTGCAGTTGTTTTCCCCAGGAGGTCAAATAGTCTGTCAAAGGGGTCATCTGAATACACTTAAGTGCTATAACAAGTGTAATGGAACTGATCTGTAAATCGTTGGTAAAATATTCATTAAACATTTATGAACTTATAAACCCTTATTGGACAATGTATTGGCTGTCATGAAAGTGATAACGTAATAATAGTTTTGACAGGGATTTCAGGTTCATCCCCATCATTACATCATCAGTCCACACACAGACCTTGAGGGCCAGGTCCAGCTCTCCCAGAGCCAGGTGAGCCGAGGCAGTGTTGAACAGAGTGCGAGACGTCGGTTCACTAATCTGCCCCAGTTTGTTCAGAGCTCCTTGCCAGTCCCTGGCATCCACGGCCTGCACCGACTCATCCCACAACTGTAGTAACTCAGTGTACAGCATTCTGGAGAGAGGAGAGCAAAATACTGGATCACAGACAGAAATATACAACAGAGGAAGCTGCTCTTTGTTTTTGCTTTTTATCCCTCCGCACCGGCGACAGTCAGAGGCAGAGCCGTGTTGTTTTCAGGTTGTCCGTTCATCCCATTCTAGTGGATAGGATATCTCAGTAACGCCTTGACGGAACTTCTTCAAATTTGGCACAAATGTCCACTTGGACTCAAGGATGAACTGATTAGATTTTGGTGGCTAAAGGTCAAAGATCAAGGTCAGTGTGACCTAGCAAAACAATTTTTTGCCATAACTCAAGGCTTCACACAGGAATTATGACAAAATTTCAGACAAATGGTTCATATTTTCTGTGACTCTGGATAAACAGGATGTAACCTGAATCTAGTCTGAGTGGTGGAGGCAGACAACCACAAGGAGGTGATTCTAGTTTAAGAGTAAATTTTGATGATGATGAAAATGATGTTGACGTCAGAGCCTGTTCTTCTGGACCACTAACAGTGATATTTTGGTCTTGAATGTGAAAGATTAAAGTAAAAGTGACTTTTACTCTTAATCATAAACTTAAGAATAAGAACTAACACTCTTATGACTTTAAAATGCTCTTGAAATTAGGAGAGTCCAAATGTCTCTGCAGTGGGTTAAAACTTCATACTACACAATACTATAGAGACAATCTAATAATAAGGAGTAATAATAACACAGATACAGAGGTGAACACACAGTAAACCTTCAGACAGGTTTGAGAGTGATAATACAACATCTCACTGGACATGATGAATCATGCAAAAATTTGTTGAAGCAAAATGTGCCCTTCAGAATATGGCAGTTTGAGCTCTATCTGCATTTGATGTTTTTCATTTTTGCATTCATCACTGGTGCAAACACCAAGAAAACAACTGTGCAAGTCCTGCATTTATAATCTTACTTAAGAGTAAAATTTTATATCAAAAGTAACGCAGTGCGCAGCACTGAGTGGTGTTACTTTATTATATTTCACTATGTTAATGAATTATTATTACTGATTAATTAGCATGTAAGCAGCATTTTAACACTTTAACTGGTCTAGGTGGAGCTTTAAAAGTTTGTGCATTTAAAAGGGCATCATTTTTTTAAGGTGATTTTTGGATGAAATTTTTAAGTAACTAGTGACAAAAGCTGTTTAACAAATGTAGTTGAGTAAAAGGCACAATGTATATGTAGTGGTGTAGGAATCAAAAGAACTCAAGTCAAAACTGTACTGTAGTACAGTATTTAAGTAAATGGGATTAGCAACTTTCCTCTGCTGCAGAAAGTTAATAGACTGATAGGCAACACTAATTTCATGATTTTGCCACCATCAATATGCATGTAGCTCAATGTCAAAATAAAGTAAGTGAAAGAGGAAAATGAGGTTATACATGAAGTGTAAATTCATATTAAACAATTTGACAAAGGTGGAAAAATCCCTCAAACAAAGAAGATAAGAGAGATGAGCAGGAGAGGCAGACAAAGACAAATACATATATTAACTCCTACACCAAACCTGATCTGTTACCTGGTAACTATATATGAAATCAATGAAAAAAAAAAAAAGACTAAAAAACAAAAACAGGATAAAAAGGAAAAGGAAAAGGAAAAAGCAACCAGAGAAACTGCACTGATGTTTATCTGTAACATGCTGCATAATTTTTACTGGAATACTTCCTTGTACTTTACCTGCTGCCTGTGTTACTACATGCTGTTCAGCTCAGTTCACACAAGCTGAAGAGTTTATAGGAGAAACTCTATAAATCACCTGCGGTCAGACTGCTTACCTTCTGCTCCTGAATGAGAGTGCAGTAAGAGTTCAGTCAGCGTCCAGCTCGGTGCCTGCCGTCCTCCACGCTGTGCCAACAGGGAAGTGCGAGTGAGTGAAACAGGCCTCCTCCACAGTCTCCACCCTGCTGCTATAAGGAAGTTCTCTGTCCACATTCCCCAGAAACGACCCACAGAGGAATTCACCTCCCAGTGTGGCACGTCCGCATGATAATTACAACATACATGGGTGACACAGGAATGAATCCTATGTAATAGCCCCATGTAGGTCAATTGCATCTTGTGATCGAACTAGTTTTGATCATGAATTTCATACAGCAGATGCTTCGTTTGCAACCTCTGGTAAATTGTACATAACAGAAAAATGTATCAACAATATTTTCTAAATACATGAGATCTGTTCCTTGTGGTAAAACCCCACTTACTGTCTGGACACTCCATGACTGGGGAATCCTGTATTATCTGTGTAGTAAAAATAAAGGTTAAGGTTTCTATACTGGGAGTAATTACACTGAGTCATTATATTATGCTAACACACTGAATGGCTGTAGTTTGGATTAAAGATTTACTGAGACGTTTTGAATGAGCTCTGTTCAGTGTGACATTTTGACATCCCTTTATGAGGAATGTTTCAGAGAAGGAAGTCAGGAGAAAAATGACTTCACATTCCAGAAGTCACAGTAAACATGAAGTCATACAGGAGAGGCAAAAGAATGGTTATAATGTTTAAAAACAAGGAAAATCATTTGATATCTTCCAGGCTTTGTCTTGACTGGGTCAGCCTGCTGCACAGGTTGTGTTTTGTTGTTGCGTCACAGTAGTACAGCCACAGTGTGGCCCCACCCATCTTTGAAACTCCACAGATAAATGCAGAACAGCATGACAACCTGTGGAGGAAAGAATAGTAAAAGTAACAGTGCAACAATATAAGAATACTCCTTTACAAGTCATACTTTCAAATTCTTACTTATGTAATATACAGTATGAGCCTCAGTCTAATGATCAAATATCATTATGCTAAATAGCACCTGTCATTGTTATACTGTATTAGATAAGTGATTTTTACTGTATGTTATTTTCTAATTAAATGTATTATATAATATTATGTGTTATGTGTAAATGTTAAATATTATAAAGTAACTAGTTTCCATTCCATCCCCCTGTTATTCTCAGTGTGAACAACTCTACAACTAAAACTACATTTTTTATGCTTGTGATTTGGAACATTGTGCATTTGCACTTTGCATCTCTCTTTTTTTCTATAATGTATTCTATTGTATTTCAGTATATGTGGAGTATGAATCACATGGCAGCTATGCCCCAAAGCATACCCGGCTTTATAGTCTATTTTACTCTAGATAGGCCTATGATTAAAAAAATGAACATTGAGCTGTAGTGAAGGAGACTTGAAACTAAAGACCATAAACTGAAGTTTACTGAAGTAATAAAACAAGTGAGAACTAGCGTCATTTTCCCATAGACTTCTATACAGACTTACTGTATTTGCTACCAGTGGAGTCGCCTCCTGCTGGTGATTAGAAAGAATGTAGGTTTCAGGCAATTCCCCAGTTGGCTTCACTTCTCAGATCTAGAGTCTACTGTCCATGTTTTTAACAGTTTTATGGTCTAACTCAGTGGTTCCTAACCAGTGGGCCATGAAGGTATTGCAAGTGGGCCGACAAATCATTTGGAAAACAGTACAGTTTTGGTCAAAAAATGTAATTATAAAAAATTTAAATATAGATGTTTTTAAATGTCTTAAAAACTAAATAATCTTTAACAGCTTTAACAGCAAATGTTTAAAAACGTACAAAGGGTTCCTTTTCATACCTTACGCCACTCATGAATAATAAGAACTTCTCACCTGGTATTAAAAGTGCTGTATTTCATTCCTGGTATGGACAAGGAGTTAGAGTGATAGGGGCTTTGTTTGATGATAAGTATTTTTTTATGTCCTTTGCAAAAGTTCAAGAAACCTTTGGACTCCCACAAAAATACTTTTTTGCTTATCTTCAAGTCCACCACTTTGTCAACACAAATGTCAAGATAACACAGGATGCAAACCTGCTGGGACCAATTGAAAAGTTAATAATTCATTTTACTTTGAATAAAGGTTTTATTTCATATTTCTATAATAACTTCCAGAGCTGTAAAGAGCATAATACTGAAAGGCTTTTTAAACGATGGGAGGTAAACATTGAGAGTATCTATGCTGTAGATGCCTGGTGGGGATGTATTCGAGCCACCCACTTTCTGTTTCTGAGTAATAAATTTAAAGAAATATAGTATACAATATTTCACAGGAAACATAGGTCACCCCATGTTATGAACAAAACAGATCCTAATCCTAATCCTTAAATGTAAATTGACAGCTGGGACATATATGCATTGTTTTTGGAGTTGTCCAAGAATAAGTTCATGTATAACTACAGAAATTAGTGCAATAATAAAGCACATGATTTGTAAAGATCCAGGCCAGTTTCTATTAGGGCTGCCTTCGAATAATAGAATTATGGAGAAGATCTAGACGGTTGAACAAACTTATTTTTCTGGCCAGAAAAATTATTCAACTGGATTCATGAAAAACTCCCCACTATATTCAGTGGTATAAGGAAAATTTTTGTTTTTTTCCAATGGAGAGGCTCAGTGTCAGGCTAAGGGGAAATGACAACAGCTTTATGGATATATGGCCACCTCTGATGTATTACTTGCCCAGAGATCCAAGTGATGTCATCCAAAGAGGGCACATTGGATTAAGAGGCTATGGGGTGAATTGCCTGTACACAGCAGTAACAGAGTGATGGTCAGGGTAATTATGTCTTGATAGTGTAAAGATAGACAACTTAATGTTTGCAAGTGTATGTATCAAAGTATAGTTTATTTTATATATTTATTCATTTGTAATTTTGGTTACTTATTTCTTTGTTTCATCTTTCATTTTTATTATTTTCTATTAGTTTTCCCTCAGTTCAAGACATGATCTGTATGGTGATGATGTATGTATCATGCAAATAAATGAAGAAAAAATAAACAAATAAATAAAAAACATTTTTTTCGTATTAAGTCGTTAAAGGTTGGGAACCACTGCTCTAACTTGATGCTAGTGCACTGCTCAGTAGAGCCATCTGGTTAACGTACATGATCGTCTTCACAACCGTGCCCCCTCCAGTGGGTACATTCAGCAAGCAACACTTCCTGGAACTCATGGATGACACACAGTTTTAATATTAATATAGTTGTTACGGTAAATATGTATGAATCACTATCACTATCACTATGTTTATTACAAATTACAACAGTGACACAAATAGTCTGGGAATAAACTGGAAGAATGCCGCAGTCTAAATACTACACAGCTGGGGGACATGATATGTGTTTGGGTCGTAGAGGCATACGTGATAGCACACAGCCTGGAAACCTGTCAAAAAAATCTAAAAGAAAAACATGGGAAAAACTGGGACTACATCAACACATCTGTCACAGTAGTGAACCTAAAGAATTTAGGTATTAACAATGTGATAATTTCACATGATGTAATAAATGTAATTGAAAAAATACTACCTATTTCAGAATGACTAAAAGGAGTGTTTTGAATGAATGTCTTTTGAAACATTACCATTCAGAGACCAAAGTACTACTATACTGTACTGTACAACTGTAGTACTGGTATTTACCACATTTCGAGGTGACCAGTGAAGGCAGCATGCATGTGTCTGAATCATTTGTTGTTGTCAGCCAGCAGCATCACATCCAAAGCTACAAGTGGATTACATTCAACTAGCAGATTTTTTTTATCGTCTGTATAATAATGCGTGTTTTAGACATGAAGAGACCCCCGAGGCTATTTCATTAACGTTGAGCTAACGGCTAATGAAACGCTGATACTGTTGGTGGATTAGACTGGTGGCATATGTAACGCTGGAGACTTTTCAAGGTAATGTCAGTACATGTTTTGATTTTTTTCGTTAGATCAGCAGGAAAACATTTTTTTCAAAGAATATTTCTGCCGTATTTTAATTGTGTTCCGAGTATTTGCCTGTGGTATTGGTTATTTTAGGCCTCAAGCCATGCCTCGGTCCACAGTTAGTCTGCGAATCCGCTAAAACGTTACTTCGATCCATTAACGCCTAAACGAGGTAGCCGTCAACAGGGGCTACGAGTTTAGCCTCTTGTACGAGAGGTAAAATGTTTATTCTGTGGTTACAGTAAATTAGTATGCAGTACCTCCTGTAAACTTGTATTTACTGGATAAGCTATGAATATAAATATTAATTTAACATCAAGGTTAACATTCTTAATTAAGACAGCCTGTTGATTAAACTTTGCGTTGTATGGTGTAGCTACAGCTATATAGCTAGCTAGCTGTACTGTGCTGACCACTAACATAAATGCTTATATTCCCCATGAATGAATAAGGACCAGCATTAACCAGCTACATGTTACTTAGCATTAAGTGTGCTGCAGCCACTGGGCTGTGTGTGTGTGTGTGTGTGTGTGTGTGTGTGTGTGTGTGTGTGTGTGTGTGTGTGTGTGTGTGTGTGTGTGTGTGGATTTAGGTTACAGCAACTTAAGCGAGCATCAAAACCTCTAAATAAAGCTAAATACTCAGCTCTTAAAGTGTGACAGGTTGGTGCTAGTTTGTCATCATATCACAAGCCAGGCTGACATGCTAGCTGCATCTTGTTCCCCTAGCTTGCTTCGAAGTGGGTTAATGTCACATCACCAGATATCTCTCTCTCACTCACACTACACTTAAATGTGTGTCTTCCTCCAGGGCTGGGTTACAGACATGCACCCACCATCTCGACAGGACTATGTATCTATAAGCCTTACTGGACAAGGAAGTGGAAGTTACAATAACAGTAAGCATTGGAGGAGGCAGTCCTGCTGGAGGGTAAGTGGGTCGCATCATGGAAGGATTTCCCTTTCTGCTCTCATCTTCACAGTGCTCTGGTTTCCCACCCTGCTAAGACCTGATAAAGGACACCACTATTGTGTCCCACTTTTCCCATCACTGGCTGTAGTTGCTGATGCTAGTCAGTATATCTGTAGGAAAAGACACTGTGGATCTGGAGAATGCATGATCTCCTTGAGTGTTTGATGTTGTGAAATATTCAGTTTACCATCAACTGTAATAATTTTTTCATCAGCTCTCCAGGTGTCATTGTTGGGTCCAGTTTGATTTTATTTCCCAACAGTTGCTATTTTGTAGACTCACAACAACACAGCAGTGTTGGGCTTGTTCTGTCTTATGATATTTTTCTTCATTTTAAATATTGTATGTTTAAAAAAATATTATACATGTATTCTATTTGTGAAAGCAGGGCACAGGGGTCTCTCCAGAATTGTTAGGTATGCTTATGGTACTAGGGCTGGGCAATTAACCAAATTTTATTTTTGATTATGATTTTGGCCTCCAACAATTATAAAAACATGGTAATCGAGAGAAAGCGATTATTGTGCTGTTTCACAACAAATTTGGGTTCCGTTGTTGGTACTGAAGAAATTAGGAAAACAGATTGCGTATTTGTTGCTGCAACATAAACGTTCTCTTGCACATTCACCAACTCCACTACTGATTAGGACATTCGTCTATGATGCATTTTCGCTGTTCCGTATGCAGAAGTTCCGAAAAATAACTTTTGAGAGGGGCGGGACAGCGCTCTCACACACCTTGGAGCACTGTGGCAATGAGAAATCATGCTGAATAATCGTGAACATCAATATTGATCAAAATAATCGTGATTATGATTTTTGCCATAATCGAGCAGCCCTGTATGGTACCATTTCAAATAGCGCATTTAGCAACTTATTTTACATATTGTATACTATGTGTACACTATATGATTCTGTAATTGCCATGTAGTAAATATTTATACAACGTATGCATTAATTGAGCAGCCAAGTAAAGAGGTTGAATGATGGTGCTACAACAGAATATGATGATGCAGGGCCATTGCTCCATTCCTTTAACTGAAAATTTTATATATGGCTCCTATCACAGTTCTATTTAGTGCAGCATTAGTTCTTAATTTGTTTTTTGATAGAATAATCTAGCACAGCAATGGGCTGGCCATTCTAAGTGATGAATTTCATCGGGACATCCCTAGTGTTTTTAGTAGCGTGTGAATAATCTCATGTTCAAATAGCATAAATAAGTAAGTAAGCGTGGTGTAATTAACATGAGAAACAATGATGGGGTCAAACGATGTGGTTTCTTCAGGGCCGATTCTGATACTGATTATTAGTAATTAAGGAGACCAATAGCTGGTATTTGGAACCAATATATAAACACATAAGTACTGCTACATAAAGTCTATGACGCCCTGGTGTCCAGGTGTTTCTATTATTTTGTCCACGCTATTCATAGCAATGAATGTAGGCTAAAAATGAAAAAGGAGCACCTCTCAGTATAATGCAACACAACTCCACACACTACATCCTTCATCATGGGAATCAGTGACTCTAAAACAGATTCTTAAAAACTGAACATTACAACATTCATGAAGGAGGATGTTGTATTAGACTTCATTAGTTTTAGCCAGATGTACCTAATAAAATGTCCGCTGAGTGTTTATTTTTAATAATTAGTTGTATGTACAGGCTGCAAAGTGCCTGCAATTTGTTGGTTGCTTTTGGTGCTGCTCTTACCTGGGAATTGTCATATACATCAACCTACGCCTGGCAGCCTAGAGATGTCATTTAATTTGATATTTTTATCATTATTTATATAAAAGTATATAAATTGTGGTACTGGGTAGTAACTGGTATTATTTTCTATCTTCTGCTCTTCTATGTGCCTGCAGAAATGGAAGCAACTGTCCAGACTGCAGCGGAGCCTCATTCTCTTCCTCCTTATCCTTCTGTTCATTTGTGGAATTTCTTCCTATCCTACTGTCACTGAACACCTCAAAGGTAAGGCTCCATAAATTTAACATCTCCCATGGGGTCCTTTGTCTGAGCCACTGGCACGCTGTCAGGAGCTCTGGTTGTTGAATGCAAGTAGGATAATTAGTGTTTTGTCTTGTTTGCAGTTAAGACAAGTAAGTGTACAGTTGTATGCAGATGTTTGGGCAAATTACATATTTTGTTGTTGCTGGAAGTGAAAAGAAGTAAAGAAAACATGCATTAAAAATGAACATTTCTTTTTGGCTGGACCACAACAGTGGGGCTGACTGATTGACTGACAGACAGATGATATTTCCACCATTGCATCAGCCACTCTGGTTTCTCAGCTGCTCAGGAACTGCAGGGAAGAGGAGGAGCTTTTCCAATAACTGAGCCTCACCTCGATTACAGCAAATAAACTACTTTGATTCCATGTATCATTATTACTAAAGGAGGCAGAGGAAGAACGCAACACAAGACACAGCGAGCAGAGAGAGCAGGAGAGAGGGAGGGAGGGAGAGAGAGAGAGAAAGAAGTCATTGGTAACAAGGCTTCGTACTTACGACTATGACCAACTCTACATATCAAACAGAGGGAGTTAGACATAAAGACCTGCCTCTAATAAAAGTCTGTGACGTTCTGGAGTTGAAGTAAATAAAGACTAAACTATTGTGGATCCAGACGAAGGCTGTGCTCTGTGGGAGTGAGAGACTGAATAAAAAAGATAGTCTATCTCGGCCTTGATGGCTCACCTGGTAGAGCACGTGACATTTGGGCTTAGTCCTTAACTAGTTAACTGGTTTAACTGAACCTCACACTGTCTGTCCTGATAACCTGTACTACGAAGCTGGTTATCACCTGGTTCAGTTAACTCTGGGTTTACCTGTCCAGGTACGAGCACGTTCAAGTGAAAGAGGCGGAGTTGTTAATTATAAACAACATCGTCACAACCATGAATAAACAACTTAATATCATATGAGAAGAAACACTGATACCTGCTAGTAATTTTGGTTACAGCCACGTCCAAAAGTGACATTCAACAAGGTGAAATTGAAACAATATGATCACATGAATAAAATAAAATTCTACATATAATTTCTATTAAGGTCAGACTAAGGATATGTTGTAAATAAGTGTTACAATATATCCTACAGTGTTCTTACTGAGTATTTTCACTCTTTCATCTGATGATGAACAAACTGGTATGAACATGTGAAGCAGATAAAACAGTTAAAGTTCATTTCTGTTTCAGCTGCAGAGAGGCGAAAAAGAAAAGAGTAGAGGAGTTGATGATGATGTTGATGTCTGATGAGTCAGTCTGACTGGAATGTTTGAAATGTATCAATCAAATTTATAATATTGGAAATATTCAACAGTGTGTGGATCATTGTTCTAATCAAAGACATCACAGGTTTAGTTTTTATTTCCAGTTCTGGTCACAGAGTGTCCTCATGTTGTTCTGAGCTGCGGTGATGAAGAAGAGAGTAAAAGCTTCATCTTTAATCCTGTCGGATTAAAGAGTCTGTGTTCAGTTCAAATGAAGCTAGAATAGTTGGACACATGCAAGGTCTGGAATAGCAAAACTATTCTACTGATTTATAGTTGTCTACTGATCTTAATTATTGATCACTTTATTGTAAAGTCTTTGTCCCTGTCAGGATCCTGTAGAAATGATGACTCAGTTTTTCCAGTGATCTGATTGGTCTTGAGTTTGGCTGTTGACAGGTTTTCATCTGATCCTCTGAAGTTAACCTGCCATGAGGAGGTTAGGAGTTCAGCATCAGTTACCGTGGTGACTTACCATGGTGATTTACCCTGGTAACAAGTGAGCCACCATCCTAGGCCTGAAAACCCAGAGTTAAACCTCAAGTTACCTCAATAACCTCAAATCCTGCTTAAGAGTACAGGCCTCAGTTTTGACCTAGTCTTGTTGTTAAATTAATTTTTAAAAAAAAAGAAAAAAAGGATTTGTGGCCTTTGCATCTCTCTGTTTATGAAGTGTCACAACTTCAACAACTCATTATGCCTGGATAGACTCACTAGATGTTGTAAGGCCGGAAATACACTGGATGTGTGGCGTGAGCGTGGCACCTGACGTTACTGACCTGCTGCTGACAATCGGGCGTGTGTGTTCACACCGGCTGCGTCTCTGCTGCTGCAGCTCTGTCTCTCTACATAGAGTTTGCAGGTTACTGGAACGTTGGATTTCTCCTCATTATTAATTAATTTCTGATTTAGATTTGACAGAAAATGTCACTAAAATGTCTTCATGCACCAGCTAAAATGGTTAAAAAATATATTAAAATTTTTCCATGTCTGTATCATAATCAGATTCAGCCTAGACATAGACAACTTTAGTGGAAGCTGTCAGTTTTATGTGATGTTGCTAGTATGCTGTCAACACATCAGCAGTATTTTCTCTATTCTTGCCGGGAGATGCAAATATCTAGATTATATTACGTGATGATTTTCATTAAGGTGCCCATGTTAACGGATTAGAGCGGACACACCGACTGTGGACAGGCGCGCAAAACGCGCCTCTATCATGTAGCGGCTGTGTGGCGTGATCTAGAGATTCAACCTCTCCCGCGTGCGTCTCCCAGCAAAAACAGACTGAGAAAAGACCCGTTGATGTCACATGGACATCATACCAGCAACATTACATAAAACTGACACCTTCCATAGTTGTTAGGTTTAGTCTGAATCTAAATATGATATAGACATGATAAAATATAGATATATTTTTTAACCAATGTAACAGCTACATGCGGAGACAGAGACATTTTAGTCACGTTTTCTGTCAAAAATAAATCAGAAATTAATTAATTAGAAGAAATCCAACATTCCAGTAACCTGCTGCAAACTCTATTTAGAGAGACAGAGCTGCAGCAGCTCAGTGACATCAGCCGCCACGCTCAGCCACGCATCCAGTGTGTTCCTGGCCAAATGCAGGTCAAGAATTGTCATTAGGAAATGTCAGCTGACAGTTCCACACTCAACAATGGGATCCCGACAATTTTGTGAGGATCTGAAAAAGAAGAAGCAAAAGAAGCAATTTGATGCCTACAAAGCAGAAAGGCTATAACAAGTAATCAAAGTGCTTCCACGTTGAAATTTCTACTCTTCAAAATGTCATTAAGAAATGGCAGTGAGGGGGAATTGTGGAAGATCAAGACAACTTACAGAGGAAACTGCACATCCGCTGTGCAAAGCAAAACTTCCATAAGACTGCAAAAGACCTGGAGGAAGGTTTATCTCGTTAATTACTAAGCACTGACTCGGTAGTGTGCCCAAACTCAAATTACCGTTTGTTTTTCCTATTTCCAGTATGGCCATGAAATAAGTAACAGTGCATTGTGCAGTGCACGTTTGCTGGCAGATTTTAATGTGTTTGCTGCAGAAGTTTTCAGTTCAAAAATCAACAAATCAACAGAATATGGAATTTGCCCAGAGGGGCCCGAGGGTTTGCATACAAAAGTATTATGGATCAGTGTGATGAGTTCCTTCAGTAATGGTTTCATGCAAAGTCTTTTGATGTGTGTGTTGAGGCCTTACAGATGGAGAGCAAGACACAGACAGTAACAGCGTCCTGAAGCCCGTCATCCCTCATGTGCTGCCTGAGCCTGTCAAACACGGACATCCAGCTCTGCCAGAGCAACTATCCCAGGTCTTTATCTCCCTTCTTCTGTTCTCTGAAGGTTATCACCAGGTTTCTAAAGGTTGTGGACCACAAGGTTTTTCCAAACTTCTTCCATGTAATGATGGAGGCCACTGTGCTCTCTGGAACATAAAATGCAGCAGAAATCTTTTGTAGTCTTCCCCTCATGTGAACCTCAACACAATCCTGTCGCTTTGCTCTGCAGGCAGTTCCTTCCTCCTTATGGTCTCTGCTCTGATCTGCGTTGTCAGCTATGAGACCTTGTTGTATAGACAGATGTGTTGAGTTTACCACAGGTGGACTCCACATCTCAGAGATGATCAAGAAAAAATGGCAGGCACCTGTCACAATGATATTTCAGTTTTTCCTTTTCTAAAGTTCAGTGTTTTTGTCATAGTGGGTACTGAGTGTAGATGGATGAGGGAAAAATGTTTTTTTTAGCATAAAGCTGCAACATAACAAAATTAAAAACTCAAGGGGATCTGAAGAGAAGTGTGAGTTATGATATATAATATGTTTAAAACTGGAGAGGATAGTAAACAATACTGTCACTGATGTGTATCTGGATGAGGTGAAAGAAAGAAAGAAAGAAAGAAAGAGAAAGATTACAAAACAGTTATTTTGAATATCAAGTCACCTCACTTTTATCAAAATGGGAGGCTGGAATAGATTATCATTCATTTTGTTAGAGCTCAATTTAATGTGGCTAGTTTATGAATGACTTGACTGGTCACTCAGCCAAAGTTGAAAGGGGCGTTAATAATATAATATTATATAGTATTTGAAATACAGATATTAGGAATGTACCCATAACAATCTGCTTTCCTTTCTTAGTAACTTGCTCACATTATTTGAAGTTTTAAATGGTAAAATAAGTTTCTTGTTTATGTCATAGAGGAAATTGTCCAATAAGAGAGGACCGCCCATTCTTCACCGTCTTCAGAAGAAAGAAAACGCTTCAAGTACAGTGGCTGAGGACAAGCCAGCTGGTGGCAAGAGAGAAGGGGAGGAGGAGGGAGTCATCAGGTGAGACTTGGAGTTTGATCACAACCAAAGTTAGATGTGTCACGTATGTTTATTTCTAAATCCAGCTGTGGCTTTCAGCTGGCATGGAGCAGTGATCGACACTGAGCATGCCACAGAGGGCACCAAGGACCGGGAGAAGGAGGATTTACCTGCCAACCCAGAGGCCAAATCGTCTAAAGACTCAGGTATCTGCTGTTTTACCACTTTCTGTGTAAATTATGAATCAGCAATTTTAATTTAGCACTTATAACAAAATACACTGGATGCATTGCGTGTGCGAGGCCGCTAGAGCGGACACACTGCCTGTGTGAGACATAGCTGCGTTGTGTTATACAGATATTTGCCACCTCACCTATTTTTAACATGTGACATGTCTCCCAGCAAAAACAGACAGAGAAAAGAGCTGTTGATGTCATAGTGACATCATATCAGCAACATTACATAAAACTGACACCTTCCACTATGGTTGTCTCTGTCTAGGCTGAATCTGAATATGATACAGAAATTAAGAAATAAATAAATAAATATAAATATATTTTTTAACCATTTTAGCAGCTGCACATGAAGACAGAGACATGTTAAAGGTAATTTCTGTCAGCATTCCAGTAACCTGTAAACTCTGTTGAGCAGCCGGTGTAAACACACACGCACACACAACACAGGCAGTGTGTTGCCGGCGTAAGTGGCTTGTCTGTGTTTGAGACTAACCATAAAATCTAATATCCACTTTAGTGTGTAAGAATTTCATCCCCAGAAATCATTTGTTTCTGAGTCAATCTATAGACAACGATGAGCTACTAAACAGGCATCTTGTCTGTGTTGTGTGTTCCAGAAGCCAGCTGGCTGGAGGAGGTGCGGGAAGCTTTCAGACATGCGTGGAAGGGATATAAAGATTTTGCTTGGGGCCATGATGAGCTCAGGCCCATCTCCAAGTCTTACAGCGAGTGGTTTGGACTGGGTTTGACGCTTATTGATGCCTTGGACACCATGTGGATCCTGGGGCTTAAAGAGGGTAGGCTGTCCCTTCCAAAACTAAAAATCCAATCTCCTGAATGCTTAAAAGGTTGCTCTGAAAAACATCTCTAAAACTTTCTCAAACCACTTTAGCAACCACTTTTTCTGTGTTTATTCATAAAATGTTGCTGTTGTGTTGCAGAATTTGAAGAAGCAAAGGCATGGGTGACAGCAGAGCTCACATTCAACAAGAATGTAGATGTCAACTTGTTTGAGAGCACCATCCGCATCCTGGGAGGCCTGCTGAGTACCTACCATCTGACTGGAGACACGCTGTTCCTAGACAAAGCTGTGAGTCAACACACACGCTCTCATTCATGGCCACATAAGGAACAAATGTGTCTATCACATATACAGTACATAGGGCTGTAGTCCTTCTATATTTATTTTATTTAAAGTAAAGATGGTAAGCTTGGCCTACTGTAGTATAAAAAGAAAAATACAATAAAAAGGAAAACAAATTTCTCAAAAAAGTATCTACTAGCGTGCTGTGCTTGTTACTGTGGACAGACAGAGCAGATTAAAATATCTGGTTCTAGTTGAACAGGTATATGGATAGAGTTTTGCTTTTTTATTTGCGAAGCTTTTATTGCACTTACTTACAGTAACTATGAGCGTAGTTCACATGAACTGGGGTAATCTTGCTTCACATCACCGCTCTGCCGTGATGCCCCATATGCGTGCGTGTGTGTGTCTGTGTGCAGCGCCTACACACAAACACACGGGCAGAGGGATTCTGCAGACCAGATTCAGAGTTGAGGGGAAATATGTGTTTGTTTGTTTTTTTAACAACTGATCTACAGAGATTTTCTCCTCTCAAAAACAAACGGACATGATTAAAACAGTAAAAACATGATAATGCAGTTTCAGGTTAAAAATCTACATTTCTCTGAGAGTCACGGGACGTCGGGAGGGAAAGAGTAGCCGGCTGGAAATTCTTTAATAGCTGGCCGTTTGAAAACCCTGCTGTAACTCCTGTTGTGCTTTCAAAGCTTTAGAGCATATTTCAGTGGTTTGCAAACCTGGCCCGCTAGCAATAATATCTGGCCTGCCAGATTATTTTGATAATGTTTTTTATTCTTTTAATCTAAAAAAAAATAGATCTCTGTCTGAGCAGCAACAGATACCCACAGAATCAATTCCTCTTCAGTGATTTTGCCTAGGAAATAAAAAGTTTTTTTTTTGCAGCAGCAGCAGTGCTTTATTTCGAGTAGGGATCAGCCAATTATTGGCTGCAATACTCTGCATTTTGGTATCATTTTTCAACCGATAGACTACCTCCGCTCTAATGTAGCCGCCTGTCCCTGTCTGTGGTCAACACTCTGTGGTCTGAAGCAGTGTCCTGTCCACAGCACCATCTGATTGGTTACACATCATGAGTAATAGCCCATCACACTGAAGACTGCTGTGTACACAGACGGTCACAGACTAGAGGAGCTGTAGTTAGCGAGCGGAGCTGTGTTTTGAAGGTAAGACAGCAGACATCCTCACCACACTCTGATGAACAAGTGCATCTGTTGGTCCAAGACACCCCGAGCACAAAAACAAATTTGCAATATATGTGACGGTGCTGTTCACAGGAAGGCTAAACCTCACACCCACTACTCTAAGAGTTTGAACTGCTTCCATCTGGCTGTCGATTCAGGGCCCCAAGGATCAGCCGGAGCATGTACAAGAAGTCTGTTATTCCCTATGCCATATGGCCACTGAACACAGAATGACTGCATCAGTGGACACTTGTTACTTGTTTTGTTGTCTTATACAATTTGATCTCTGGTATTTATTTATTTAACCTGTCTGCTGCTGCCTGCTCATTTACACTATTGTATGTTGTACGTGTTGTATGTTTTTAATGGTGTCTTTTGTTATGTGGATTGTATGTATTTTTTATTGTTCTTTCTTTGGGAGAAGGCAAAGACAAATTTCCACTGAAGTCAGTCAATCAAGCAATTAATCAGTCAGTCAGTTAATCAATCAATCTGTGGTCTTCCTCCACAGAAAGACATCGGCTCCAGGCTGATGCCAGCCTTCAACACCCCATCCAAGATCCCCTACTCTGATGTGAACATTGGGAAAGGTACAGCCCACCCCCCCCGCTGGACCTCAGACAGCACTGTGGCTGAGGTTACAAGCATCCAGCTGGAGTTCAGAGAGCTCAGCCGCCTCACCCAGGATCCACAGTATGAGGTGACCAACTGACCAAGAGATACAACCGTGCAGATCCAGGGTGTGCCCTGCAAATTTTAAGATTGGCATTAGGCTCAGCTTTCCATCTGTACTATTGCTGACACCACTTGATCATAATTATAATAATAAACATTATTTAAACTTTATTTATTGAGCAAGGGTAAATTGAAGGAGAATGGAAATAGACAATAGAAACACAGTAGATGATAAATTATGTAAATGAAAATAAAAACCGAAACCAGTAAGAATAGTAAAATATGAGAGAATTAATTAAAAGCAAAGTTAAGTAAATAGGTTTTCAGCTGCCAACTAAAAATGATCACTGAGCATCTCTTATAGTTCTTGGCAGGGTTTTCCATAGTTTTGGATCATAGTTAAGAAACGCTGCACTGCCTAATTTCTTGTGTGTAAAACTGTGTGTGTTGAAAAGCCTGGCAGTAGAAGACCTGAGGGCTTGTGAAGGATAGTAAAACCACAGAGAATATGCTGTGTGAATCTGCTGGTCCCAGACCATTAAGAGCATTGAAACTGGAGTGTTTCAATTGATAGCTTTGGAAGAGCAGTGAAAAGAGCATTGCAATAATCGAATCTATTTGAAATAAAAGCATTAATACAGTTTTCAGCATTTTTATAGATTAGGAACGGCCGTACTTTGGCAATATTTGATGCCAATATGTTTTTCTCTCATAGGATTGTGGCAGATGCCACTTTGATCTGTAGGTGCTGTTCTAAAACTGATATGCAGTATGAACTTGGCTGTTCCTGTCACTCAGATTCAATCAGTAATTGTATCAGCCCTGCATTAAGCAGAACACAGAACTGAGGCTGATGAATTACAGCTGAAGGTGACAAAGCCCCAATGAACAATGTAAAATTTCAGTTTTTCCTTTTTAATTAATTTGCAAACATTTCTAAAGTTCTGTTTTCATTTTGTCATCCTGGGCTGTTGAGTGAAGATTGATGAATTTAAATGATTTTAGCATAAGGCTGCAGCATAAAATGTGAAGAAAGTGAAGGGGTCTGAATACTTTGAATGCACTGCAGTCTTTCCTCTGGCAGCACCATCATATTTTGCTCCTTCAGTGATCAGGATCTGTGTGTCATTAGCATTAGAGTCCCACAGGGCTGCTAGCATCGGGAGCCCCCCACAGAACTGGAGAACTTCTAGTTTCATCTTTTATGCATTGATACTTTTTGGGTATGATATCAGCTGCTGCTTTCATTGCCTTGCAGCAGCCATGGTCACCTCTCCCATCGGGCTGTGGCTAGCTGTCAACTTCAGGCTAATAATTTCGTGGGTCACAAGAGATGGGCCACATTCAGACCCAAGAAGTCTTGTTAACATGGTACGTGCCTGCCTTAGTCCAAAGAGCTGCACCAATTCCCCATAAAAGCAAGTTTTGAGAGGACGTGGAAAAAAAAAGACTGATTCTGTGGGCAAGGAATTCTCAGGCAATGTGTTTCACATGCTAGACGCCCAGTCATCTGTAGTCTTGTCACTTGAACAGTCGAAACCCAGTCACCTTACACCTTAAGTCTGGTTGCAGCAGCATAACCCATTCATGTTTAGTCACATGAAACCTGCGGCCCAGTGCTGGTGTGATCACTGCAGGCCAGAATGACTGAGTGTAGAAACAACAAACATTCTTTGCAATAATTGTAGTAATATTTAAGAACTGTAAGTTGGGGGAAATTGTGATAGTCAAAATGAAACAGCAGTCATTATGATTACATAATCACAATACGTTTTTGTTACTTAGAGAAACAGTGAAAAGGATCTTCAGTGGTTTTAATGTATAAAGTTTGATTGTGGTTGGTAAATGGAAGTGGATGGTGACCATTCCTTTTGGGTGTTTCCATGTTAAAAAGAGCAGAAATTTTCTGGATGCTTGTTCTTCTCAGTATTTCCTGAAATACACACAAATTCCTTTGTTGCTTCTTTTCAAATTCTTGTCAGGAGCTTCAGAACAAGGGCCTTATATGCACAGGGTTTCACTCTCAACCCCTCAGATCACACACCCATCTATGCAACATGGACATGCAGTAACTGTCTCTAACCTTAATTTTTCTCTGTAAGATTTAACACTAATCTACAAGAACAGAGAGGTGCAGAGAAAACTGTACACAATGTATGAATGCAGCATAAAAATTATCTTCTTAGACAGTTTTATTCCTCTCCATATACAGTGAGTAGCTGTGCCAATAATTACTCCTCTAATGTAGAACAGAGTCTTGAAATAAACATATGCACCAAAATGGCAACATATTTCTCCATCACCTTTATGCAAGACTGTTTGGTTTTTTTTGCTAGTTTGTGGGTTCATACTGTGCAACAGGGCTTGTTTAGTTGGAGAGGTGTGTTTTGTTTTGACCAAATTAGTTTTAAAGAAAACGTGCACGGAATCACAATTTTCTAAATGTCAGGTGCTCACACAGTAAGATATTTCAGAGACACTTTTTTATTTTTGAATCTGTATAGCAGAAATATAATTTGTTAAATGTGTGGGTTTGACATTTAAAATCAATTTTCTTGTAATTTAGGAATTTGTTCTTTGAGTCATTAAAATAAATAAAATAGCTTCACTCATTTTGACCTCTGGCCTTGATTTTCCAGGCTGCGGTGGCTGAGGTTATGAATCAGGTCCACAAGCTAGATGGCAAGCTGGATGGTCTCGTGCCCATGTTCATCAATACAAACAACGGACAGTTCACCCATCAAGGCATCTACACACTGGGAGCCAGAGCCGACAGCTACTATGAATACCTGCTGAAGCAGTGGATCCAGGGAGGCAAGAAGGAGGACCAGTGAGTCGCACCACACACACACACACACACACACACACACACACACACACACACACACACACACACACACACACACACACACACAGTATTAACTGAGCTTTCAGAAAGTCCTCACACCCCTTCTCTGTTTTCACATTTTGTTATTTTGTAGCTTTAAGCTATGATAAAAAATAATAATTTTAGCCCATAATGACAAAGTGAAAACAATTTTAGAATTTTTTTGCTAATTTATTAAAAAGGAAAAAGTGAAATATCACATTGACATAAGTATTCAGACATTTTGCTGTAATGTAGCTCAGGTTCCTCCATTTCTCTCGATCATCTCTGAGATGTTTCTACACCTGGATTGGAGTCCACCTGTGGTAAACTCAGTTGATTGGACATGATGTGTAAAGACACACACCTGTCTATGTCAGGTCTCACAGCTGACAATGCAAATCAGAGCAGAAACCATGAGGAGGGAGGAACTGCTGCAGAGCTCAGAGTCCGGATATGAAAGGCTATCTCAGCCTGTAGCTACAGAAAGCTTTCTTTTTAGCTTGTTCACAATAGTTCACTCTCAGTCTTAATGTTAGCGTGCTGTAGTTGTGTAAAACAATCGGCAGTGGATGAGAGAAGTTGAAATGTAGCTTTTCATTTGTGATGTGTTTATTGCACATGTTCATTTCACAATGACGATGAAAATACGATTCATTGGTCAGCACTACTCTGTGCCATGTTTTCGTGTTTGCACAGCAACCTACAACACCCGGCTTTGTTTTTTCCACAGTCGCCATTGACTTTATTTCCATCTAACTGAAACTTTTCTGTTTATGAAGTGCAGAAACTAGTGAAGAAAAGCGCACTACATTTTGACAGAGCCTTAGGTGACATCTTCAGAATGTTTGTTTTGCTCAACATGAGTCCAAAACCCAAAGAGATTTGGTTTGTTATCAGATACGAGAAAGAAAAGCAGCAAATCTTCATATTCAGAAGCTGGAACCAAATGACTGAGACATAATCTATGGTGTTAACCCTTTATTACCATTTTACGTGTGTGTGTGTGTGTTAAGGCTCTTGGAGGACTACCTGCAGGCAATAGAGGGTGTAAAGAAGAACCTGTTGCAAAAGTCTTCTCCTAACGGCCTGACCTTCGTTGGAGAGCTCTCACATGGACAGTTCAGCCCTAAAATGGTCAGTAACAGCAGCAGATAAATTGGTGTTGAAAGATTAGAATATACAGTATGTCTTTGAGTAAATGGCAAACTAGTGTGAAGTAGTGTGTGTGGGTGGGGAGTTGGGGGGGTTTTACATGAAACATACAAATCTGTACCTGACCATCACCATTGATTATTTAATACATTTACCAATCAAGACAACCACCTTCATCAGCACATAAGCAAAGATAACTATACCATTGAACAAGGGAAATCAATATCAAATAATTAGTACAAAAAAAGAAGACTGAATGGATCATACATGTATTATAACAGCCTGGATGTCACCACATTATGTACACACCCCAGAAACAACGTCGACCACAGGGCGCTCACCTGTTTGTCCACGTAGCGCGCCACCGTGAGACACTTCCCTTTATCTCCTCGTTCAGTTTGGAGGAGGGAGTGAGAGCAGGTCAGCAGGAGCGACACGGAGCAACACGAGTGAGGCCGTTAAATCCCTCACAGATCATCATTCATCTGCTATTGACAGTCATCAAATACCTCTACACTCACTGATCACTCCACATTCCACTCTGTTGTTTACTGAAGCTGGTCATTCATCCACAACCCAGCAACTTCCTGGACTGGACCACTTGTTGACTGACTGACTGACTGACTTACTGACTGACTGACTTACTTACTCACTTTATAAAATTGAGTAAGGTCTTATCCTTACTGTGTAAAGTGCCTTGAGATAATGTATTTTATGATTAGGCGCTATACAAATAGAATTGAATTGAAACCATGACAAAGCACATTTGACCCATTCTTATACAGCTACATCAAAGTGGAAAAGGTGTGAGATGTTGTAAACTTGTTCAACTCACACTTTTGAAAACATGTTTTAAAGAAAGTTACAACAACAAAATCTGGACTCTCTGGGGTGTGTGTTATTCATCTCACAAATGAAGATAACTAATCAGCCAGGAAGCTACAGAGATGAAACTATATTCATGTCTAAACTCATTCTTCATGTCAGTCTATCTTTAACATGGCTGTGTGTTAACTCAGGATCATCTCGTGTGTTTCCTGCCGGGCACTCTGGCCCTCGGTGCTCACAACGGCCTGCCTGCTGATCACATGGATCTGGCCAGACAGCTCATGGAGACCTGCTACCAGATGTATGTCCAGATGGAGACAGGCCTCAGTCCAGAGATAGTCCACTTCAACATGCATCAGGGCAGCACCCGGGACATCGAAGTGAAGGTACGTAGAGACAGAATTGTAGATGTAGAGTCCTGTACCTACAAACTCATTTCATGTCATTCTGGAGAGGGGCATTGCCTAAATGTCCGGGGACAAACTTTGGACTGATGGTAGACGTATTTGAGAAAATACTCCACAGTAAAATGCAAAAATGTGACAATAAACAATCCTGCAAAGGTTTAGGAAGATAAGATAAGATCAAGCAGATATTAAAATTGTGTATTGTCTGTGTCTGTTTTGTATCCTCTGTGACAGCTGGCAGACAGACACAACCTCCTGCGACCAGAGACGGCAGAGAGTCTCTTCTACCTGTACAGGTTTACCAAGGACCACAAGTACCGGGACTGGGGTTGGAAGATTCTCAAAAACTTTGACAAGTACACCAAGGTTGGTGAAATGAAGGGTGTCTTCGCTGGTCTGTCTCTTGAGGATCAGTGTCTTAGGTGGTCTCAGGTCCCTAACATGAAAAGGTTAAGTAACATCTGAGTATTTCTGAATGTGGCAAGACTCAGAGTTGTGTAGTGTGTATATATATAATATTTTATTTTATGTAATATATGATCATATACAATATATCATATAGTAATGTCCAAATAAGATGCTAATTATACTTTTGTCCATGTTGAGAGTGAACAAACAAACGGTCACATAAGGGCGCTGTAGTCAGTCACAGAGCCTGGTGCTAAAATAGATCTCTGTCATGGCAGCAGCAGTTACCCACAGAATCACTTCCTCTTTAGCAAGTTTGCCTACCAAATAAAAGAGTGAGAAACTTCTGGAAAGAAGGAAACTACAGAGTGTGAAAGTGAGTTTAATCATATGACCAAGTGTATTCATGTGTAACAAAACGCTGTTTAAACAAAAAAAAATGCTTTAATGACATCACTCCCCAGCTTTGTAAACTGGTTTTTAATGGCTCACAGAACGTCTTTTCCAGTGTGCCATTATTCAGCAGCCAATCATAGACTTAGACATAAAACTGCTTTACATTGCGAATCTTATCTCCTATGTATTTTCAACCCTAGTTGTAATTGTGATTCAATTTTAAAAAAATAAATAAATAAATAAAAAAAAATCTACTAGGTTTATGTTGTAGAATATGGTGAACAGATTGTGTTGCTGTGTGTTTCAGGTTTCCTCCGGTGGCTACACCTCCATCAATAACGTGCGTGACCCAGACTACCCGAGCCCCCGGGACAAGATGGAGAGCTTCTTCCTGGGGGAGACCCTGAAATATTTGTACCTGCTCTTCTCAGACGACCCCAACCTGATCAGCCTAGACCAGTATGTCTTCAACACTGAAGCTCATCCTCTGCCCATATGGCCTTCCACTGCATGATGCACGCACGCATGCACGCACGTGCGCGCGCGCGCACACACACACACACACACACACACACACACAGGAATTCAAATGGCACATATAAACACAACAGAACTTCTCAGGGTTGATGATAGCTTCGTCTCTTCTGTCTCAGTGAGAGAACTCCAAAACAACACAGATGGAAAAAGCCTCTTTACTTTTTGTTTGTTATGAGTCATTTTGTTGTGTGGATTTCTGGAGGTCACAGAGTTCATGCTGGAGAAGCAGAGGACTCTTTCTGTCCTCTTCAACACACAGATAACATCAGCACTGAGGAGACACTTGACTTGAACTGAAGCCGTCTTCATCACATGTTGAGGGGAGGAGTTGGACTGATACATGTGTCTGAAGGCTGGGTTGAATATTTTCAGTTTAAAGCTCCTCATAGCTTCTATTTTGCTAATAGTTCATCATGTTCAATTTCTAACAAAAATGGCCGCGCCAGAAAAAAATCCATATAAACATTTACCCTGCTTTGTATTGTTATTACAGAGGAGAGGTTTGTGAAACAGAATGTAATCCACTGTGACACAAAGCCAGTATCTGGGGGCCTGACCCTAGTGCTTGGTGTGACAGGAGGCTGGTTGCCTTCGTAGCAACATGTTCCCTGACAGCAGCCGCAAGCTGTCTGAACTGAAACCAACCACTGCCTGCTGCACCTGGACCCTGACGCTCTGCTCACATGTTTGTGTTTGGGTGTGACTCCTGCAGGGAAAAGAGGAAACAGCTAATTCCTCATCGCACTGTATATAGTGATTAAGTGCTAGAGCTATTCTCAGATGCTGAAGCTTCCTGAGGGGGCATAAGCGTGCCACCATTTATGTTTGCTGTGCCGGGTTGCATTCATGTCATACAGGACATGGGGGGATTTTTACAGCATGAAAATCCTGTTCAGTCCCTTCAGCTCAAGGAGAAAACACTGACCAGTCATGTTCTGTGGAAGAGTCTGCAACTACAGATGAAACAGTTGAAACATATATGGTAAATTATGATCTCAATTTGTCATCTTGTTGAGATTTTCTGGTCTCACTGTTTATCAGTGGAGGAAGCAGCATTCGCATCCAGCCATTTCGTCCATTCGTCCCATTCTCGTGGACACGATATCTCAGTAACTCCTTGAGGGAACTTCAAATTTGGCACAAACATTCACGTGGGCTAAAGGATGAACGGATTGGATTTTGGTGGCCAAAGGTCAAGGTCACAGTTTCCTTGCAAAACAGGATTTTGGCCTTGTGAACAGGATATCTTGAGAACACACGTGTTATTGTGGAGACATAATTCTAGTTTGAGTAAATGTGCTGAATCATTATGAGCTAAATGTATTAAGGGTTGAAGTACTGTTGGCTCATTTTAAAGGCAGATGCACCTTTGCAACCCAGAATTGTCCTAGAACTGTACAGCAGTGTCTTTGTAAATTATTCAATAAAGCCGTTAATTACAGTGTATAAGCTCTTTAAAATAAGCTCACTAAGAAACACTTGAGGCTCCAGTGTACAGCTCCACACAAAATCCAGCCAGAGCATTTCAGTCTGAATTTGAATTAGTCTGTTTGGCTCATGTCAGCGCTGACTAACCCTCGCCATTACCGAGCTACTGTAGTGGGCTACGGTCCGAGCTAATATGAAATACTGTTTGACAGTTTTTTTAAAATGCAGCTACAAGCTGAACGTACTGTGTGTTTCACACTCAAAGTCTTAATGCTGTAGAGATATAAGGTGGCAAGTACTCAAGTACTTAAACTTTCTACCACTTCTATTAACAGTGAGGCAGATATCATTTACTTCTGGTTGGATTAGGTCATAGTGGGTAATGTTACGAATTCATAAGCAGGACTGTTAATGAAGTTCCTTGTCAGGTTATTTTATTGATAAACTATTTAATTGCTTTTCCAGAAAATGTCCTGTTACCACAATAATGGCCATTATCGCACTTTAAAATGACACATTTGGTTCAGATCAGCCCCTCCTTATAAATTATCTTCTTGTTACATTGCTTTGATTCAAAACTTGAAAAAGTCTAAATAAATCTTTATCTAATAATTGGCATGAAGTCCTGCAGTTCACTGTTTAATGACAGTAACAGACAGTTTGTCCATTGTACACTTGTTAAACATGATTGCAGCACAGTGGCCAGCAGCCAGGTCATGGTCTCTGATGTCATCAACAAGGAAGTGTCAGGTGTGGGGAATGATGTGCTGCTGCTAAAGTAACAATCCTACTAAATACTCAAGTCTGGCAGGTATATTTAGCTACAACAAACCAGCTGTTTCTGGGGTGCCTCGGTGGTGCACACCACATAAGCTTAGTCTTACAGCATGGCCATGGGTTCGATTCCAACCCGTGGCCCTTAGCTGCATGTCATCCCCTCTCTCTCTCTCTTCCTGAATTTCCTGTCTATCTCTCACCATACTGTCTGAATAAAGGCAAAAATGCCCTAAAAATATAACTAAAAAAAAAACAGCTGTTTCTCCCATATGACATGAATGCAACACCAGTCTCTACATGGGACACAGCTGAACTTGGTTGTTGCCAAGCAGCAGATTTAATGAACTGTGAAGCTTTTGTTTTATGAGGATAGTGATGGGTTGATTTGGTTTGTTTCGATGGGGATGGGGATGGGGTGGGGGTGGGGGAGGGGTGGGGTGGGGGCTCACTGAATGTCCCTGTTCATTCGTCTTTTGTCATCTTCCTTGTTAAGGTGTTGTGTTTCTTTCTCTTTTAACTGAGAGAAATATATCGATTTCTAGTGTATGTTCTAAGTCGTAATTGCAGTTATCCTAACAGCTTGGATTGTGCATTTAGTTTAGTTTCTGTAGCGTCACAGAGCAGCTTGCAGTCATTCCTGTAAATCCAGTTAGTTTACATCACAGCTCTACTTTTAAAAACATTCTGAATTTGAGTTGAGACCAAATTCATTTTGTATATTGTTTTTCCTCACACGTGCCTTTAATGTTGCTTCAGACAACAATCCAACTGTTAACATCCATTCCTCTCCATCCAGCTTACTGCAGGTCTGAGTATTTTTACAGTAGAACAATGAAATGAGGGTTGATATTTTTCCAGCAGTCCCTCAAAGCAATCATTAGAGTTACATAATGCTAATCTCTTATGAGTGTGTATTTAAACCCTGCCTACAAGGGCTCTGTGTGATCCCACCGTGGATGTTTCAGCATAATTCCTGAGCCAAAGATGCTGAAAATACGATCAACCCTGGTTTTTGATTTTGTTTTTACCGATGAAAAGCCATTTCTCCAAAGCCACATCCTTCAGGAAAAACTAACAAAGGAGATATTTTCAGCGCTTTTGATAACAGTGTCACGGGTGTGGGTGACTGATGTTAGTATTTTTAGATTTAAGTCATTGATGACTGATTCATTTCTATATTAGTTGCAGCTGCTTTTAACAGAAGGCTGCACATACAGATGCCTACAGCTGTGAGCTCTTACAGTTTACAGCCAGATCTGACTTCAAGTCTTCATGTTCATGATCAGTGCCCAACAATCTGTTGTCATCCTGACTTCATTTACAGCTGTTTCACCAGAATGCAACAAATCAAACCTCATTTAGAGCATCATATTGCATACAAGAAAATCCAGCTATAATGACATTTTTACAGTTGAAGTCTGACAGAGCAGAGTCTCTGCTGGGGATTTGACATTTTTTGAAAAGGAGAAATTGGGATCCTGAAAATAACTTTTTTGTAAGAGCTCTGTCATTTTTGTCGTTTGTGTGTTGTGTGTGAAACCTAACACGTCCTCTCTGTCTAAAGTGTGATCTTTGTCCTGATGGGATCTTAATGTATGAATGTGGAACATGTTAAAGAGCTTCGTTCTGATGGAGGGGCGGCTGCATTGGTTCAGTGTTTGAATGTTTTATTTATTTCAAACTTTCTTAAACATACAAAATGTATTGTTGATGTCACCTGGCGTATACAATGCTGGATTTGCTTTAATTGTGCAAAAATACAATAAAAATTTAAATGAAAGATTTTATTCATCAGAAAACAAAACATTTGAGTCGTTCATTGAGTCATAAAGTGATCTGGTAATGGTAGCACATCTGGCTCACAACAGAAAACACAAAATACAGTGAGATCAGTGGAAACACTGACTCCCCCTGAACCCTTCGCAAGGAGCATGATGGGATAGCTGGCAGCGGGACATGGACAGGTAGAGCAGAGGGTAGAGTTCAGATGAATGAAGTGATCTTTAGGGAGCTGTAACATGCAGCTGCTGCACTCATCTGTCAAACAGCAGAGGAAGGGTTAAATTCTGTGTTCCTACACAGATGATTGTGAGGGTGGTCTTGTGTCTGTTTTCATTTACAGTTGCCTCACTGACATTCATATTATACTAAGCATACACAGTAGAGCTGAGAAGTCAGTTAATTGATTAATCAATCAAGAAAGTTAAGTTGCCACCTGCATTACTGGTGGCTCACCTGGTAGAGCGCGTACCATGAAGGCTCAGTCCTAACTGCAGCAGCACAGGTTCGAATCCGACTCAAGGCCCCTCTCTCTGTCTCTCTCCCTGACTTTCCTGTCCCTCTCTCTCTCACTGTAACTATCAGAATAAAAAGCGCAAAAAATAGAATATAAATACAAACATTTGAAAACCTGGTTCCAGCTTCTCAGCTGTGAACAGATCCTGGTTTTCTAAGCCTTCCCCAGCTGTAATGTGAATATCTCTGTTATGTTATTACCTGTGTAGGATTTGGAAACCTGATGAAGAGTGAGCAAAATGTCACTGAATTTGTTTTGTTCTTAGATTTTCCTGCAGCTGCCTCACCAGCAAATCCGTTATGCAGACTGACATCAAGTTCAATCAATTTTCTTTTCCAGGGTGAACGCACCACATACTCTACACCCACTCACTACAGTTAATATGCAGAATAGAACTGGGACTCAGAGGTGAACTTGTTGAATCAAATATTTTCTCTGGAACCTGGTTTCACACATAACTGTTTCTATGCAACACAATCTGAAGCTGTGTTTTAAAGTGACAGTAGTCTGCTCCTCTCCATCTTCACCCACTGAGCGATGAAGTCTGCTTCTGTTTTCCTGGCAGCAATCACCGACGCTGGATCAGCAGCATCAGATCCTCTGCACAAAACAACAGCAGAGAAAAGTGTCATCACATTTTGCTTTGAGTTAAAAAGTGACTCCAGTGAGCAGCGCTGATGGACAGAGCATTTCTGGCCTGGAGGGCGAGGTGATCTTTACATAGATGATAAATTTCTTCAGCTCCAATCCAAACATCATCTCCCTCAACCGCATTTCTATAGCTACCTTCAAGTCAGGCATTTGGTGCGAGAGAGTATTCCTGAATTTGCAGTAAAACGAAAGAGCCTCCTATTTTATGATTTACTTCTCTCACAGCCGAATTCTAAACATCCGATCTCCCGCTTTGTCACAGCCTTTGCTGTGCTGGTGAGGCCTGGGCAGAGGAACTGGGTGTTACAGTGTCAGAGGAACTACGGGAGGAAGATCTGGCCAATATACAGAGCTGTTCTATCAATTCCAGATACAGACTGATTCAATTTAAAGTCGCACACAGACACTAATGCACTACGTTAACATTTAACTTAGTGACATTTTCACATCAGTTTCTCCTCCGTGACAGATGCTGAAAGATCACTAGCACACTTATTCTGGCACTGTCCAGTACCAAGTCATTTCTGGTGGAACATATTTAATTGGCTTTCTAAACAATATGGAACTAACATTCAGCCAGATTGAGACCTAACTACATCATCTATGAGCCTCTGTCTTATTCTGTAGACTGTACTGATATTCTGGCTCCTCCACCCATTTAGTTTTTGTCTGCTTTTTTTTTAGTCTCCTGTCTCGCCTGTTTATTTGTTGATACATACAGTCCTGGCCAGAACACCCCTCCACTTCTTTCAGATAATGCACCGTTTCTCCCAGAAATTTGTTGCAATTAAAAATGCTTTGGTATTTAAATGTTCATTTCTTTTGTTTGCATTGGAACAACACAAAAAAACTGAGAAAAAAAGCCAAATCTGACATCATTCCACACAGAACTCCAAAAATGGACTGGGCCCTACATTGCACTCCAAAATTCTTTGGTAGTCTTCAGATTCCATGATGCCATGCACATAGTCAAGGCATCCAGTGCCATAAGCAGCAAAGCAACCCCAAAACATCTGTGAACCTCCACCATGTTTGACCGTAGGGGCCGTGTTCTTTTCTTTGAAGGCCTCATTTCGTTTTCTGTAAACAGAACAATGATGTGCTTTACCAAAAAGCTCTATTTTGGTCTCATCTGTCCATCGGACGTTCTCCCAGAAGGATTTTGGCTTCCTCAGGTAAGTTTTGGCAAACTCCAGTCTGGTTTTTTTTATGTGTCTTTGTCAGCAGTGGGGTTTTTCTGGGTCTCCTACCATAGCATCCCATTTCACTCAGAAGTTGACGGACAGTGCGAGCTGATACTGTTGTACCCTGTGCCTGCATGTCAGTGTGAATTTGTTTGGAAGTTGATCAAGATTCTTAATCCACCATTCGAACGTTGCAATCTTTCATCAATTTTCCTCTTCCGTCCACGTCCAGGGAGGTTAGCTACAGTGCTATGGGCTGTAAACTTCATGATGACGTTGCACACAGTGGACACAGGAACATTAAGCTCTCTGGAGATGGACTTGTAGCTTTGAGATTGTCCATGCTTTTCCACAATTTAGGTTCTTAAATCCTCAGACAATTCTTTGCTCTTCTTTCTTTTCTCCATGCTCAGTGTGGTACAGACAGACACAAACACAATGGTTGAGTCAACTTTTCTCCATTTAAACTGGTTGCCAGTGTGATTCCTATATTGCCAGCACCTGTTACTTGCCACAGGTGAGTTTAAATATAAATTAAAGGAGCATCACATGCTTGAAATCCTATTGTTTCTTACAATTTTGAAAAGGTGCCAATGATTTTGTCCAGTCCACTTTTGGAGTTCTGTGTGGAATGATGTCAGATTTGGCTTTTTTTTCTCACTTGTTTTTGTTGTTCCAATGCTAACAAAAGAAATAAACATTTAAATACCAAAGCATTTTTAATTGCAACAAATTTCTGGGAGAATTGGTGCATTATCTGAAAGAAGTGCAGGGGTGCCAATACTTTTTGCCATGACTAGCTCTTGGGAGTTCTGCTTATGAAGCCTTTGTCTTGTGGTCAACTTGTGTATTTATCTAATTGTACTGGGCGCCTTTCAATCTGTTAAATCATAAATAAATAAAATCATAATAAAAAAAAAAGTGACTCCAGTCGCCAACAGCTGGCTGTACCTCAGGTCCAGGTGATGTGCTCCTCCAGTAATATTGACAGCTATCAGTGATGAGCTCAGGGACTTGCGCACCTACAGAAAGAGAGAGAGACAGCGAGCTGATGAACTCAGACTGAAAACAGTGACTTCACGGTTCGGTGTCCTCACTTGGTTTCATCTCTTACCCCTCCGTTGGCCCACGGGTCCAGATCCCCATTGGAGAAGATAATGTTGCTGGCTGTGGACAGGACTGAACACAAGAGGAGAGCTCATCAGAAACAAAAACACTGGTGGAGAAATATGGAGATAAAAATAAAAATAATCCATTCCAAAATGTAAAACAATATCAAAAAGCATGAATGGCACCTGTTTTAAAAATGATTACTAATGTCAACACATTAACATGTTACAAGTCATTGCTAATCAATCAATCTACTTCTTCGTCCACACTTAAGTTTGCATTCTGGACCATGACTGGCTCCAAACTAGTTGTGACATCACTAAATCCAGTGTGCATGTGCACATGTTAAACTGAGACTGACAGAGTAGTGACCAGTCATTCTGCAGAGTGAAGCTCAAACATCCAGACAAAGCAACAAATAAAAAAATGCATCCTCATATTTTATTGTATTAAGATTCTGTCCCAAAACCTACACATGATAAATGACAATAGCCATCACAGTTCTGCACGTTCATCCCATTACTGCTTCACAGTGGTTATTAGAAGTGAGCGTATCCCACAATTCACCAGTATACTGAGAAACAGTAGTCCAGCTATTCATTATAATACAACTATAGTGTAATAAGAAAAAGTCTGTGAAGCCTTTAGAATGACCTGGTTTTCTGACTCTTCAGATAGTAACTGTAATGCTGTTAAAACAGGTTAGGATGTGAAATCTACACTCTGAAACACATTTAGTGCAGTTTTTCAGCCACACCACAATAATGAAATATCAATATCATCTCCAATATGATATAATTATGATGGGAATATTCCATCGGTTGACAAATAATAGTTCAGTGATCAGTTTTCACAGTGACCACAGTAATATGGTGAACATGTCAGTGCAGGAGAACTGACTGCTGTCTGAAAGGGGAGATATTCTGATGTTTTTACTCTGCAGCGGAGAAGCTTTTGTTGTGATTCACAGTTAAAAAAAAAATCTTTATTTATGTCAAACTGCCTGATTGTTATACAGCCCTGACCCAGTGTGTCAAACCCCAGTGCATTTCATTCTAGATTATTTATTTATTTTATTTAACACAAATCAGAAATAGAATACAGGTATGAGCATTCAAACATGATAATAGCAATGGGTGAAAATCGAACACCACAATAAACTTGAGAAGCTTATGAGTAGGGGCCCAGAAACTGTAACAGTGGAAAAGAGCGTCAGTGGGAGCGTTTACTGCAGACCATGATATTATACATATGACTTTTTTCTGTTCAATCTGTAGTTTCTCCAGATAACTAGGATTAGTATGATATATATGTTATATATATTACATGAGGCTCAAATAAGGGCTGATATAATGTTTGTAGAAAATGCCTCAAATTAGAAAATAAACCAACATATTTGGACTTTTTCATCAACTCATCAATATGGACCTTAAAGTTTAAAAATTCATCAGTGTGATCCCTCAGGAATTCAGTGGACTTCACTCTCTCAGTTTCTAGACCATTTATTCTAATACGAACATGTTCAACATTATTAGATGACACCTCTAAATGCTGTAATATTTCAGGACAATCACTACTCACCATCACCCCAGAACTGGATTTGGAGCCAGTCTGGTCGAGGAACCACCCCCCAGCGTTTGGAGCAGTAGAGCTCGCGGTCTCTCTCGGTGAAGGCCATGGGCGGGAACATGTCCGTCACATTGTTGCTTTCATAGCACAGATTGATCTCTGTGCACGCCTGCAACAGCAGAGGCAGGGTCAGTGTTCAAATCACTGCTGAGATGAATGAGATGTTTCTTCTGTCATAATGAAGTTCTGACAAAGACATTTTCTAAAATACACTCACGTTTCATTTAAATATCATTTACATATCAAAACTCAGTGCACTGTTTTTATTCTAAAGGATAATTGTCATCAAGTGAGACCCTTCTATTACAACTGTCTGTGAGGGTTCATCTCATTCATTGATTCACGAGCACCCGAGGGGTGCAAGGACCCTATTGAAATTGCCCTGTTGAAATGAATTGCCTTTTTGAGGCCTTTCCCATGAAACTCTGCACACATGTCGGGCCTGGTGAAAATGTACGGATTTTATGGGTCACATGAATGGTTCTGGCAAAATGGCTCAGGAGGGCCACCTAGAAATTTTAAAAAATTGACCTTTGTTTTTTCACCTATATGCACGCAAATTGGTAGGCACATGTAAAATGCCAAGACTTACAAAAAAGCCTCTTGGACCCGTAGTCTAAACCCAACAGGAAGTCAGCCATTTTAAATTAATTTAGCAATTTTGGCATCATTTTTGCGATTTAAGAGTCCCATACTTTAACAAACTCCTCCAAGGGAATTTATCCGATCCACATCATATTTTGTGACTTAAGACCTTTGCAATGTTAAATTGCAAAGCTTTTGAGTTTTCGTTGGAGGACCAGCACACGGCAGTGCAGCGAATTTTGATGATTTTCCATGAAAATACCACTTGGTCTCTTTCCAACACAAAACACAAACACAAAAGGGTCAGAAAATACTTTGCACAACCTGATGTTGCTTTATTGTGAAAATTTTGAGTTTTCATTCAAGGGCGTGGCTCTGGCGGCAAGGTGAGTATAAACCAGGAAGTGTCTATATGTCAATTCATATCATTTTTGGTTTAATCTCAACTTTAGACCGGTGCAATGCTAAATTGCAGAGCTTTTGAGTTTTTGTCAGAGGACCTGCCCGTGGTGCCACGGCCAGTTTCGATGCTTCGCCATGAAAACATCAACTGACTATAACTCAAGCAAACATTTTCCAAACTTGCCCAAACCTTATAGCTCTGATAAAAGTCCTGAAAACATCTGCATGCTCATATTTAAAAATACTCATAGTGCTACCTAATGGCAATACGACATATAATATTTTACAATTTCATGTACTACTCCTAGCAGGTGGACCAAAGGTGGTCAAAAAATACTACTTCAATTTCTGATGCCAAAACTGGTAAATCATGGCTTTACATTTAAGGGCGTGGCTATAGTGGCACAGCAAATCCCCAACAGGGAGTGGTTCTAAATCCATTATACATTGTCCAATGTGCATCAAATGTGGTCAACTAATCCTTCTCACCCTGGTGATCCTACAGTGTGGATTTTTCAAGTTTTCACTTAAGGGCATGGTTTCAGCGATGGTGGTTAAATCTGAAAAGGGAAGTGGTTATAACTCTAAGATACTTTGTCTAATCTTCTCCAAACGGGGTCAAATTCAGTTTTGATGTATGATGATGTATGTGCTCTGATCTGGCTCTGATCTGACAGACAGCCACGTGTGCTTACTGCATGGTCTCTGGCTCCACTTGGTGGACGCAATTAAGAATGACAGCAAACATCCAATGTCTTCAGTGGCTTTAACTCTATTGTATATTGCCCAAGTTTCACATTTGATGACAGTCTCTTACTGTAGACAACAGCATAGTTATATTCATTTGTGTTTCTGGTTTCACACAATGAACAAAATTAAGAATTCATATAAGACCACAGTGTGATGTGTATAATATACGTAAAGTTTTTGTGTCTGTAATTGTACCAAGACTAAATGTAAGTTTTTGTTATCAGTAGATACAGGTGGGAAAATGTTTGACAGGACTCCCAGCTTTCAGTTCATCCATCCACAACACTTCAGATTTCCTCTAGTTCTTAACTGACAACAGCCTGAAATAATCCTGTGTTGCCGTTGTGATCAGATAACATACAAATACTGTGTACATGCTGTACATGCTCTGTACTGGTGGATGTTGGAGTACCTGGTAGTCCCAGGCCTGGCTGTCGAAGCCCAGTCCACATCCAGTGGGATCAGCGCACTCCAAATACAGATTGTACAGGTCGAAGCAGGTCAGCACCCCGGTGGCATTGTACACAATCGCTGCAGGAGGGAACAAATGAAGGTTATTTAATCGTCTCATGATCACCCCCAGGACATGTCGGCTGAGGAGTAAACTAGTTTGCGTTTTGTTTTTTATCCTTTAAACCCCGTCATTTTCTTTCCTACTTTTTTTTTTTTACTTGTATCGAGGCTCAGATCTGGGGAAGGATACGAAAAAGAATTCTGCTGCATTGAAGGTTCCAAGAACAGTGAAGAACAGTGGCCTCCATCATTCTTACATGAAGAAGTGTGGAACAACCTGGACTCTTCTAGATCTGGAACCACCCGGCCAACTGAGTAATCAGGGGGAGACCAAGATCCATATGGTGACTCTGGCTGTGAGACCTTGGCTATGGTCTAGAAGTCTAAATAACCTCCTCTCTTTTCTCCTCAACCTCAATGGAAAATGTCATGAACGTCAAGGAAAGATGAGAAGGCGAATTCATAAGGACTTAGGAAAAGGAGCTGACTGCACTTACACTAGGTTTTTATTTTTTAAACTAACTTTATAACTTTCCTTTCCTAACCACAAAAACAAAAACAGGATTGAAATGTTGAATTAACATAAAGGGAATCTACAAGTAAAGGAACTGAGCAATCAATTATATTCAGACATAAGTTTATAGTTTCCTGGTATAGGCTTTTGATCAGACAAGGATTCAGTTCTGGATTGTGTCACAAAGATAAAACAGCTGCTCTGTTGTTTCTACATTTACGTAGGTCTGCCAAGGTGAAAGTACAATGTTGCATCATTTCAAATGTTGCTGCAGCACTGAATTGTGTGACGGCACTTCTCCTTTCCTTTCCTAAAAGAAGGTCCAGTGTTTCCTATGCAGAAGGAGATAAGATGAATTCAAAAGCCTATACCAGGAAACTATAAACTTATATCTGAATATAATTGATTGCTCAGTTCCTTTACTTGTGGATTCCCTTTATGTTAATTCAACATTTCAATCCTGTTTTTGTTTTTGTGGTTAGGAAAGGAAAGTTATAAAGTTAATTTAAAAAATAAAAACCTAGTGTAAGTGCAGTCAGCTCCTTTTCCTAAGTCCTTATGAATTCGCCTTCTCATCTTTCCTTGACGTTCATGACATTTTCCATTGAGGTTGAGGAGAAAAGAGAGGAGGTTATTTAGACTTCTAGACCATAGCCAAGGTCTCACAGCCAGAGTCACCATATGGATCTTGTCTCAAACGTTCCCACGCGTAGATATAGAGAGAGACATGTCGAGGCGGTCAGCGCACTCCTAGAATTACTTCATTACTAGTCATGTTAGGTCGGTCAGTATTGTCGTGGAGAACTCTTGTTACTTTCACATAGCCGATTGTGTTTTACTGTTTTTTTATGATCTGTTACTCGTGCTTTTGCTGGTACGACTGACTATTGGATCTGATGGTCGCGTAATAGACTGAAAGGGTGGATTCAGGTGGAGCGCGGCGATTGCACACTTCCCCACTGTCGCGGCCGACCTGGTGCGGCGCCAGTTCGGTATAAGTGCGTACTCGGCGATTGCATCGATGGTTACTTTGATTAATGAATACAGTAACAGCCCTCTTCGCTTCATCCTCCTTGCCAGCTGCATTAAGACTGGGAAGTCTAAATCGGCAAGTTGGATCCAGTTTTTTATCTGGCTTTGCTTGTTTCAAATTGGATACAAGAGAGAACAAACTCAGATCCAAGAGAAATAGTATGTTGCCATCAGCAAGACAAAAACCAGCTTTTTCAGCTTTTCTAATTCAAAGGCCGCAGAGACCATGTGAGGCTCCACACAGGGTGCTGTGACGTAGCTCTCCACTATACTCAGATTGTTCCCACATGTCAAGCTATGTGTCCATAGGAAAAAAGATATGGCAAACGAGAAAAAGATAGTGAGCAGTGGGTCGGCATACAGAGCCGAAGAGACAACGATAATGGGACTTTTGGACTTGGTGAAGAAATAGAGACTGGGTTCCAGAAGTTTGGCTGTATTCTGGCCTTTGCTCAGTTGCTAGAGACTGGTCATGAGTGACGCTTCAAGACGCCATGTTTGGATCCCTTTCTTCTCCAATTTACTGATATCAGCAGATTTTTTTCTTTTCTTTTTGAATGACTGGTGCGCTAAACATATGAACGTGGAACTGTAAAATGAGCTGTACGTCTTCTTACTATGACATTGTCTCCAAATTACAATTCATACAGTTTCAACTTGTATTGAAGTCAGTGGCTGGACTCAATCTGTGTCGGGACGTCCGGCTAACCAAAACAATATGTAGCTATTTCAATTGAATATCTGTAAAGTCATTGACTTAGCAGGTCATGAAATTGCAAACACATCCTTACTAAGGTGTGAATGAGGTTATGAGTTAAATTCACATTTAGTTTGGCTCTATTGAGAAGTCAAGAAACATGAGTGCTAATCTACAAAATAAGCTGGTAAATGTATGATGACACAGAATAAAGGCAGTCCACTATCGAGTGCTACATGTAGACACGCATAGAATGCACACGAGGATGAGCCTGCTGGGCAGTCACTCCGGCGCTTCGCACTGTAAAGCTGCCGCTGTTGTCATGTTATTTTATACTACTTGCCGCAGTACTTATGACACCTCAAGAAGTACAACAGGTGCTATAGTCAGATTAAGGTAATATATAAGGCTTCTTCACTTCTAATGTAAATATAAGCACTGCAAACAGAATAAAACAACTATCTACTAATAAAATCTGCCTGCAAACAAACGCTTTCAACTTTCCATACACAAAGTCAAGTGTACTTTCTGAATAAAATATCCAACCAGAAGAGCTCATCAAGAAGTTGAATGAGGATTTTACTGAGAACTGTAACTCTAAATCCTCATTTATTGAGAGTAAAGCTATCGTCAGTTAAAATTGACTTCTTTAGTTCACGCCGTCAAACTTATAACAGATAT